GAAGGGAAGAAAGTTACTGGTGCCGGACAGCAGGGCAAGTACTTCTGGATTGCTATGTCATCACCACCCCATGCAGTTATGCATTTTGGTATGGCGGGCTGGCTCAAGATCCGGGACGCCGACACATACTATTACCGGACAGACAAACCAGAAGATAAGGAGTGGCCGCCGAAGTACTGGAAATTCTTACTCGAAACCGATGGCGATCCAAAGACAGAGGCTGCATTTGTTGATTTTCGCCGACTGGCCAGGATTCGCCTGGTAGACTGTCCTGCGGAGGAAATCCGTAAATACAGCCCTCTGAAAGAGAATGGCCCAGATCCTGTCGCCGATAAAGACATTGTATCGGAGGAGTGGCTGGCAAAGAAGCTGAGAAGCAAGAAGGTACCTGTGAAAGCCTTGCTCCTTGATCAGGCGAATATTAGCGGAATAGGCAACTGGATGGGGTATGTTCCTTCAGGTTCCCTTTATGACAATAACATCCAGCTGACTGCTATTATAGCGATGAAATCCTCTACCATGCTAAGATACACCCTGAGCAATACAGCAACACTTTGGATGATGACCAGATCAAAGAGCTGCACTCGGCGATACATTATATCTGCTCCACCTCCGTAGAGCTTCTGGCAGATTCAGAGAAATTCCCAGCTGACTGGCTGTTCAAACATCGGTGGAGCAAAGGCAAGAAGAATACGCCATCAGTGCTGCCAAACGGGGAAAAGATCACTTTCCTTACGGTAGGCGGCAGAACCAGCGCAGTGGTTCCAAGCGTGCAGAAGAAGACTGGGCCAGTAGCCAAGGACGTCAGCAGCGAAGACGCCAGTAATGCGCCGGCAAAGTCGAAGCGAAAGCGGACCTCGGTGAAAAAGGAGGAGAGCGAACAGGAAGCTAGCGAAGAGGATTTGAAGCCCAAAACAGGGCCCAAAAGGCAAAGCAGGACTTCTGTCAAGAAGGAAGACATCGATGAGACAGAGACTAAGCCGGTAGAAGCACAACAAACTACCAGAAGGCGCTCTGGCCGACTTCGAAAGTAGGAATCTACCCCATTGTACCATTGAAACCATATTAGCGACGTATCGGGAGATACGACGTGACGGATTTTATGATACCGGATTTTATATAATACTATGTACCACTTTTCCTGGTCTACCTGTTCATACCTTCAGCCCGTGCAGCCTTTCCCGGAAGACATCAAAATTGCTGTCACCCTGAGCAACTTTCGACATGTCATCTAAAACCGCAAATACAATCTTCTCCCACCATCCCTGAAATTCGATTTCTTTCAGGACTTCGAACCAACATTGAGCAACCTCGGCATTTGGGTTCGCAAATGCGCCACAACCCAGAGCTCCTAGGACTATTCTCCGATGCTTCTTATACCCTGCAATGCGGAGAATAGACCGCATCTTGTCTTTGGTCAGTTCTCGATCAGAACGGAACTTAAACGTCGCTGGATTTGCTGTATAGTCCACCTCCGGTACTTCCAGTGCAGCAACGCTGATAACGCTCACAATAGGGAGATGCTCAGGCTTCTGCAGGTCCATCAGCCCATGACCTTGTGTGAAACTCTCACGGAAGATAACAACAGTCGGAGAATAGATGGCGTCTCGTTCTCCTATGGGATAGTAACGGTGTTTAAGGGTGGAGCTGAGGCTGCTTCGATAGCAAAGAGCTTCCTCCTGAGCCATAGCTCCATTACGCCAACCGCCGCCTGGATCCCTTTCATTGGCCATATTCAAGACGCACACATTCCGCGTGTCAGTCTGCCGGAATTGCCTGGAGGGGCTGTTAACCCTAATGGCAATGTCGAATGTATCTCCAAAGATGACTTCGACATGGGTTGATAGCTTGGGGCTAAACCTTGGATTCAAAGTAGGATATCTGATGCGTGGGCAGTACTGTGCTGTTGGAGGTGCCCGAGGCACCGTACTTAAAATGCCGGGGAGAAGGGCTTGAGTCTCTTCCGCGGTCGCTCTTAGTATTGCTCTCCTATCGGCTCCCGACATAGGCCGTGGTCGCACATTGACCGGTCGGAAGTAGTCCGGTAATAACTTTTGGCTCATCTTTGTATTTGTGGTCTGCTGTGAAACTATGTAAGCTGAATGTAAGGTTAATCTGGCTATAGGTCTGTTAATGTAGTGTGTGGCATGACTTGACAGTAAGAGCAGACTTAGGCAGCAAGGCTGAAAGCACCAGGGTGCCTGGTGAGCGGCCAGCCAAGTGGAATTCCGAGGGGCAACACGAGCGAGCGGCAGAACACGAGTGCCTGGCGGGCGGTGCCGTAAGGCGGTCAGCTTATCTTCGCCGATCGCGGGGCTGCCGATAAGCATCCAGTAACATCAGAGTTCGTCGCCACTGCAGATGACAAAGCATTGGTCTTTCTTCTGATCACTGTCACTGTCGCATTTCTTCTACCTGCTCTCATATTCCATGCACACAGAAGCCTTGCACATTGCTTTCAACTTGACGTCGAAGCTTTCACATTGCTAAATCAGCACGGTTAGAGTTGCAGCGCAGACTTCTGAGCCCGCTGCGGAGTGGCGCTGCTATACCTGCACATCTAGCTAGGAGTCTTCAATTGCCGCCACAATGAGTGCAATTCTATCTGCAGACGACTTGAACGATTTCATTTCTCCCGGAGTTGCGTGCATCAAGCCTGTGGAAACTCTCCCTGCAAAGGATCCCTCGAAAACAGATGTATGTGCTCGCCCTTCTCTCTGCTTGTACCCCACTCCATCCAATGAATGAGCGCTGATTTATAATCTTTCAGAATCCCTATGAAGTGACCACAGAAGACAAAGTGCAGCCTGAAAACCTTCCACCGGCTCAAATCTCTTTGACTGACTGCCTCGCATGCTCTGGGTGCGTCACTTCTGCCGAGGCCGTACTCATCTCGTTGCAATCGCATGCGGAAGTCCTCAACACTTTGGATGCGCATCCCGAGTTGCTGATCAGCCGTGAAAATGGGACATTAGCCCAGGATTTGGGCACGGACAATGACGAAGGCCGAGTTTTCGTCGCAAGTGTTAGCCCTCAGGTGAGGGCAAGCCTAGCAGCAACTTATGGAATCACGGAAAAGGAAGCATCATACATGATCCAGCAGTTCCTCAGCGGTCCCCACGGTTTGCGTGCTGGAGGCAAGAATGGCAGCGGCTTCACATGGGTTGTCGACACCAATGTTCTGCGCGAGGCTGTCTTGGTTCTTACGGCCGACGAAGTTGGCGAGACTTTGACGACCAACCCCGATTCCCCTAGCACAAACAGCGCAACCAATACTCTTCCCAAGCGGCCGATCCTCTCGTCCGCATGTCCAGGCTGGATATGTTATGCTGAAAAGACACATCCATTTGTTCTCCCACATCTGTCACGACTCAAATCACCGCAAGCGTTGGCTGGCACCTTTTTCAAAACCGTCCTCAGTAAATCACTTGGCATCCCGGCCTCTCGCATATGGCATTTGGCCGTCATGCCTTGTTTTGACAAGAAGCTTGAGGCCAGTCGCGAGGAGCTCACTGATGCTTCGTGGCTGTCTGCGAAGGACGAAGATCACACAGCCGTCCGTGACGTTGATTGCGTGATCACCACTCGCGAACTTCTAAGCCTAGCGTCTTCCAGGGGCCTTGCGCTTCCCAACCTACCGTTCAAATCCCTTCCTCAGTCTTATATACCACCATTCCCCGATACTACTTTGAACGAATTTCTGTTCTCAAAGTCTTTCCCAGGACAATCAGCTGCCGCAGGTACATCCGGAGGCTACCTCCACCACGTGCTCCAGACTTTCCAAGCACGTAATCCAGGCAGTGAGATTGTCACTCAACGAGGAAGAAACGCCGATGTAGTCGAGTACACCCTCATGTCGTCGGAGCACACGCCTATCCTGAAAGCTGCTCGCTATTACGGTTTCCGCAATATTCAAAATCTTGTTCGCAAGCTGAAACCAGCCCGGGCTTCTCGTCTTCCGGGCGGTAGCCGACGAATGCCAGTCGGACGGGGCGCTGTGTCTGGTGGTTCTGGCACAGACTACGCTTATGTAGAAGTCATGGCGTGCCCTGGAGGCTGTACTAATGGAGGCGGTCAGATACGCATTGAAGATGCCCGCGAAGCTAGCTCCAGCGTGCAGTCCTCAACCTCGGGCGAAGTGCCCGACTCCTCGTCGAAGCCGACACCACATGAGCAACGCGCTTGGCTTGCCCGCGTAGACGAGGCATATTACTCTGCGGAGTCGGACTCCGAGTCGGAAGCCGGAAGCCAGTCGCAGCCCCTCTCCATTCTTGAAAAAGAAGACAGAGTCCACAATGCCATGCGTTATTGGTCCGACTCCATGGGCATCCCACTCTCGAAGCTTGCCTACACCACATATCGCGAGGTTGAGAGTGATGTTGGCAAGTCCCAGCCTGTCGCGAGCGATACTACTCGCGTTGCTGAGCTTGCTGGGAAGATTGGCGGTGGTTGGTAAATCTGTTTCTTTTCTTTCACTTATTTATGACATATACCCTGTGATGTTTGGATGACATGAGCTATGCGTGCATTTTCTTCATCGGGACAAACAGTCTTTGCATTTGGACAACATATTATATAGAGAGATACCATGTTTGCTGGTGGAATCGGTGGCAGCACGATGAGTCGTGGGAGATGTATATTGTGTCTTATCCTACATACTACATTCCAAAAATCAAGCAATCATTTACTCAAGGTCGATAAAAATCGCACTTGATGAAACATATCAACCCACTCAAAGTTTTCCTGAACAAATCAATAACGACCTAGAGTACTATATTCCAACAAATACTACAAACTGCACAACCCATCCCGCTTACTAAGCACACCACCACAACCACCTTATCCACAAACATAACTCCAATCACAACTAGTACCAGGCCAGCCTAACCCAAAGCAGCAACCAAACCTCCAACCGCAAAAAAGTTCCAGAACAAACCAAACCAAACCACCCAAACCTTCCATCACCATCTACACCACACCCTCCACTACCTCCCCAACCGCACACCGACCAAATACCTAGGACTCTCTACACACAACACCTCGCAAATTTCAAAACTACCGCAATAAACCAATACAAACCCACCATGTCCCGCGAACAATACCAAGTCCCCAACCTGGGCGGCGGCGGTGCCCAGAACGCCTTCGGTGATGCTGCCGGTGGTGGCCCCATGGACGGCCCTGTCGTCGCGTACCTGTGTGGCGAGTGCAACTCGCGCGTTTCGCTGAAGAGGGGAGACCAGATTCGGTGCAAGGAGTGCGGTCATCGGGTTTTGTATAAGGAGAGGACGAAGAGGTTAGTTTTTCCTTCTCCTTCTTTTCTTTTTTCTTCACTGGGGTGGAGAGGGGTTTTGGGGAGGATAGATATGGGAATTATTCATTGAATGAACCTGTGCTAACTAATATACTTTGCGATGTGCAGAATGGTTCAGTTCGAGGCGCGGTGATTTCGGTACTGATAGAGTCGGTGGTTTGAGTTGGGCTGGACTGGACTAGACTGATATGGTCTGGTTGGGCATGTTTGACTTCGTTTTATGTATGATGGGGTGGGTGCATTTGGTGGCGCTTGGAGTTTGCTTTTGTTGTTATGTATTTCTTTGTGAAAGTTATTTGTCTTGGTGAGGGTTGGATGTTGGTGTGAGTGGGAGGTGGGGGGAAGATGGGCAAGTGGGATTATTGTCGAGTGAAGATAAGTGATGATGGGATTTTGTGCGGAAATACCCTTCCTCTTGAATCCAGGCAGTTAATTCAGCTATGTTCATGGATCATTACTTGGGTTTTGAGTGTCTTGAACAGTATTCGTTTCGATGGTTACGGTATCATAAACTATTCACTACTACCCAAAAAATTATAGCCATACTGTTGTTCGAAGAACAAGTTGGCCTATACTTTTTAGCCACAGAAAAACCCGAGAGTCAGAAGAGAATGAGTGGTTAGAGAAATGGAAGCCGTTGATATCATTAAAGCCGGTTCGTGACTTCAATGAAGTGCTCAAACGACTTGAGAGCAGCGCCGCTCTCAACGGCCCAGCGAGCTCGGCGGACACCCTCCTTCCAGCGCCCGCCACCAGGGCCGCGCTCAGTGATGACCTGACCGTCATCGCCAGGCCCCATGTTGCTGGTGTCCGCATCACAGATACCCGACACCGTTAGGAGGGCAGCCACGTTCATGAGGACGAAGCTCAGGATGGGATCATCCCGGGACAACTCATTCCGCAGAATGCTCATCAGCTTGGCTGCGTTGTCCTTGGGCATCTTTCTGCCGCCAACGTCAGACAGCGGGTGAGTTGGCAGGCCAAAATCGGACGGGTGCAATTGGAACATTTCCATCTTGACCAAGGTGCGGGGGTGTTCCTCCTCATCGCACGAGCACTCATCCTCCTGGGACCCTTGGTACGCGGGGTTAGGATATTCCGTTAGTTGCCAGCAGTTTGTCTTTCCTGCGCAGCTGATCTCGTCCAGATCCTCCTCACCGCAAACAACAAGCGCCTTCTTGCATCCGTTCTGTCGCAATGCCTCCACAAACACAGGACCCAAGCTCTGGTAGGCCACACCAACAACACGCGCCTCGATAGCCCAGTCGACTGGGTTGGCAAGGGGTCCCATCAAGTTGAAGATTGTCCGAAGTCCAAGCCCACGCCGGACAGGGTCGGCGTACATCATGCCGAAGTGGAAGTTGGGAGCAAACAGGAAGGAGTAGTTGGTCTCCGCATAGACCTGGGGAAGGTTGTCGGCGTTAACTGCGCCGATCTTCGGGGGCACAGGAGTAATGGCGTTCAGGACGTCGGCAGATCCGGAGAAAGAGGTCTGGGCCCGGTTGCCATGTTTGGCGGTCATGAGGAGAGGGGAGGCAATGATCGAAGAGGTTGTGGAAATGTTGAAGGTAGAATGCATGTCTCCACCGGTACCAACGATATCGCACTAGAAGCAACGTAGACGTCAGCCGTATGATCCAATTGAGGTACAATATAACCAGCATCGCTCACCAGACCACCCCTGTAGTTGCCCTCTTTCTTTCCCCGCGACTTGATAGCAGCCTTCAGAGTAGGCCGGTCGACCTGGCGAGCAGCCTCGCGCATGCGATGCGAGCACTTGGCAATGACTTCAGCATCGCGATCCAATCCCGTAGAATGCAAAAGCGTGAGCAGCGCTGCGGTCTGAATATGCGATATCCCGTCTTCAAAAATCAGGGCGAATGCTGAGGCAATTTCCGAAGCTTCGACCCGGCGTTCCGTAGCGGGGTAGGCGAGTCTCTTGAGGAGGGGTGAAATGGAGACATGTTGCGGTTTCTGGTCATGAATTGAGGCGGACATTTTGCCTTTGGTTTGAATGTTAGCAGGTAGAACGGAACAGCGCGCACGCTCCTATATAAGCAATGAGTCACAACTCACTCACCGAGCTTTGAAGCTTAGCTGCGTGAAAAGGAAGGAAGGTTCGGAGTTTGGTCGGATGCCCGCTGACCGCAGAACAAAGAGTCATCTTTGCGTCTGGCAGAATCCCACCGCCTGTCAGCCCGGCTAATCCACTTTAGGAAGTCAAGATTTCGTGCCATATTTTCGTCCAGCCGGACATCCTCCAGCACGCTGCTCTTGTCGCCGGCATCGCCAATTTCACGGTCTTGGAGGTTTTCGTCCGGCCCCTACTTCCTCGCGGTATTATTCCACGCCCAATTGATATCTCACCCCCGGAACACCTCTTCCCACCTCCACAATGCCGCCTCGCGTCCGCATCTCCAGCGGCCGCATCACTCAGTCGGTCCGCCGACAAAGGGTCGTTTACCAGCATGAACTCCCGATTGCTGCCAGATATGCCAGCACCGCAGCCACCGCGACAACCCCGGCCGCATCAATCGAGCAAATGACACACTCCCCCGCCCCTATCGCCCACTATCCTCCCACGCAGCCTCCCTCGCACCGCAACCCCGAATATCGCCGGTCCCAGCTCCTCCGGCAATACACCTCCATCATCCGCACCACGCCTCTCATGGTCTTCCTGCAGCACGACAACCTCCAATCGGTCGAGTGGGCCGCTATCCGCCGAGAGCTGAGCGCAGCCATGCAGAAGGTGGACGAGAAGATTGCCTCGGAGGGCCGGAAGGCCCCAGCACTGGCTCCGCACATCAAGGTCCAGATTGTCCAGACGCGCATTTTCGAAGTCGCCCTCCGCATCGTCGAATACTTCCGTCCTAAGCAGACCACCCCGGTCCCCAGAGCCGTCGACCCTGCCACGCAAACATCGGCCGAAATCCCTCTTGCCGCTTCCCGGGATGACCCTACCCTCTCCCATGACCTCTCCCGCGCCGCTCATGATGCCGTCTTGTCCATGAAGGGCAAACATGAGCTGTCGGAGCTGCTGGTTGGTCCTGTGGCCGTCCTCACCATCCCCCATGTCTCCCCCGAACACTTGAAGGCCGCATTGCAGGTCCTGGCCCCTAAGTCGATCGGTCTTCCTCTGCCTACCCGGAAGGCTAACCCGGGCTGGCATGAGTTCCCCGTTCAGAACGGTCTGAACAAGTTGTCTTTGATTGCTGCTCGTATGGATGGACAGGTCTTCGATGTTGAGCAGTCCAAGTGGGTCACCAGTATCGAGGGCGGTATGGACGGCCTGCGGTCACAGCTCGTTATGGCTCTGCAGAGCATGGGATCCAGCATCACGAATGCTTTGGAGGGCGCTGGAAAGAGCCTTTACTTTACGCTTGAGAGCAGAAAGCAGGATATGGAGCCGAAGGATGAGAAGGCGTCCGAAGATGAGAACAAGGGTGATTCTGCTTGAACTGCCTAAGGCTGTTGAATTCTTCTGCCTGGCTTGCCATGTATAATAAAATGTCGCGTGTATTTTTCTTTCCTTTTGGTTCCATTTTTACCCTTCAAGACCATGATTGTTTTAGCACATGAAGTTTCATTAGAACCGGAGTCATAGTTCTAGGTTACAAATACATACATACTCCTTTTTGGCTGTGTTCTCCGCTTGTATACCGTGTATCGTGACCTACGTTGAATACGGCTATTATTATGTTGATACCTATCTCACGTATCCCTCTTGTTGAGTCGTTCACTGACACCCGGTGCGGTTCTTTTGATAATCCACTGGAAGAGACTCGGGGCGGTATTGAAGCGCAACCGGCAGTCCTTCCTTTCATTCCCAGCCAGCCCTCTTATTTGTTGCCATTGCTCTGCTCTGCATGCATCAACTGCCTGTGTAGCAGCCGAGAATTCATACCCACAATGCATCGTACCAGATCCCAATCACCATCCAAGCCTACCCAGTCCGTAACAAGGACACCAGTAGACCAGTCACCATCACCCTCTCCGTGCTTCCTGCACAGATACTCAACAGTCGCGGGGTTCAGCTTAGCAGCAATCTTCTCGGGCCAAGTTCCGACCTTCCAGAAATTGCTGGCGCTCAGGAAGTTGATGTAGAACGGATGGGCTCGCGTAGCCAAGGGCCCTGGAAGCACCCCAAACGGGTACTGAGTCTTGCTTGCGCGTCCGCACTGCTCTGTCACGTATTCGATCTTCTTATCGATGTTCGTGGTCTCGAGGACCTCGTAGAAATCTTGGATGCAAAGCTGTCCACTGGGACAGGTGGCACTGGCGCAGTTATCGGCCCAGCCGCTGGCGTTGATACCCCAGCCTTTGCCATCATGGATGTCTTTCAGGTGTTCGAAAATTTCAAATCGACGGACTAGGACAATCTTTCCACGTACTTCGCCTAGGGTGGGGATCTTTGGTTCCGTGTACCATCTGCTCCCTGGGCGGGCGTAGTGGTCGTTGACGATTCTACTTAGCTGTTCGTCGGTGTGGTTTCCAGGGCCTTCACGTTTGAGAGAGATGATGAGCGTTTCAGTGGGGTTTGCCTCTAGGAAGTCGTTCACTTCGTGCATCAAATCCCGGAAGTATTTGTTGCCGGTTAAGGAGATGGGGAAGACGCTGTGTACGAGAATAAGCTCCTCTTTAGACGTATCTTCCGGGTATTGAGGCTGCACACGGATATCGAAGAATCGCACCCCGTTCCTGAGCTGTTCCCTGGGACTGACCGCTTGGCAACGAACGGATGGTGCTGCTACATGGCAGGTTGGGGAGTTGTGTGTGCCTGGAATTGAAAGAGAGGAGAGTAAGGTGTCATCCTTCAGTTCGCCCATCCAGGCATTCAGATTGGCAGAGGAAAAGATGGTGAGATGGGAAGCGGCCGTGATGTAGATCCCCGTGAGCTTGAACTTGGGGTTGTCACATAGTGCCTTCATGGTGGCAGTCTCAGTGGTGGGCACTGGGGTCTGGATTTGATGCCGTTCTCCTTCCACCTCAAAGATCCAGCGCAAACGTTCCTTCTCGGACTCGATGAACGAGCGAAGCTCTGTCTGGACTGACTCGAAGGGCGCGACATGAATGTCAACATCTTTCTCTGCAAAAGGCTTCGTATCGTCGTTCACAGCAGCAACTGGGGCGTTTGCACGGGTCGTATTGGTCAAGACCCGTGTGAAATTCTTCGCAAAAGTTTGAACCCCAAGCGATCTATCGGGGGCACGGAAGCGCTCAATGCGCTTCAATGTGATGGGCGTAGAGGTGACATTGCGAATAGTAAGATGTTCGGCCGCCATCTTCTTGGATCTTTTATTATTTACTCGCTCCGGTGTTGCGTTGTTCTGCGGGTCGTGTCTCCGTGGACGGCGTAGTGAACACGGCATTTAGGACAGATCTCCGACGGACGGGACCGACAATCTAGACTTTATATTTAGCAGGCTGGCAAAGGGGAGCTGATCCCAAGGAAAAGGCTGAAGTATCAGCCTGTCAGGGTTAGATTAAGGGCCGTAATTGGTCTGTTTGGGCTGGGGGTGCCTGGTTGCAATGGGGATACTTTGGAACACTAAAAAGACCCCCGATAGGGATTGAACCAATAAAGGCCGGCACCCACTGCCCATACTGGCCCCAGGATCACCTGCCGAGGCGGAACACCGGAGCCCTGGAAAGTTTGCTACGCAGACGCGAACCAGCTCAATGGTCTGCACAAGCAAGCGCATTGGACTGTCTGGAGTTAGCAAGTCAGCCCGTAAGCCAATGTTTGCTATTTTGGGCCCCGCCGTCGCTGAGGGCGTGCTTGAAGCGGTTAATAATGATCAGCCCTGCGTCGTAAGGCTCTCCGTAATCCAGATCCACCACCCGCATACAACATCCCGCGGCTGACAATCGAGAAGGACAATATGAGCCGGCAGTTGGTTTCATCATCTTCGTAGCAAGTTACCCTTTGGATTGGATTACTTTAAACCTGTCTGTGAGCCAGAGGGGAAACATTCGAAGCTTGGTTCAATCAGAACAGTCTGTATGCTGTCATGGTGGGTAGAGCAGCAATATATCTCTATGAGTGATATCCTTCTGGAGGCGAAGACAAGGACATCTTTTCTCGAATTATTAGCCACCTCGCTGTTATCTTTGGAGTCCAATTCAGTCAGATTGGGGGAATGAAGAGGATGTGAATTCGATGCTCCTCTGTGGACTGGTATAGATCGGCCCGCACGTGCCATGTTCGATGGCGGAATAACTCACAGCCCGAATTGCGGGCGGAAAGTGGGAATGTGGAGTACTAACATCGCATAGTGATTTATAATAATATGTTGTTATAGTATCTTTGTGGATTATTTCAGATGAAATACTATGCTCTTCCGCACTCATTTATGTCGTTGAGATTTTGGGCTAGTACCCAGATGGCTATAGATATCCGGCGCTTAAGCAGAAGCGCTTGTTCCAATGTATTTAGTAGTTATAGTACTGCTATTGTTCAGTTTCTGTTCAGTTTCTGTTTCACAGTCAGAAATATCAGACAATCATATTCGAAGATAACGCTGGAATTGATTGTTATTATTACAGAACCGAAGCTTTCTCTACGCTCCCTCAAACGGGCAGGCGAGTACTAGATTACTACTGGCTGTTGGGTGTCTCCGTTTGCTAAGAACTATAAACTAAGGTAAGCTCCGAAGGTGTTTCCGAGGCATCGGGAGCTTCCACGGTAGATGCCTATCTCACATTGCTGCCTCCTCCCTTCAATGGATTGTCGTATTCTATTCCTTCCTTCGCAAAAAGACCGAAATCAATCTCAGCCAAGCATCAGCATAAATTACCGTAGATCTGCGTTTTTACAGTGTCTCATCTAGGCGCGCGCGTATTGAAGTGAATGAATTAGGGTGGCTTCCAAAACGGGCTGCTGTCTGCATGTACTTAAATGTAGTTGGCTTCCCACTCTCACCCCGCCTGTTCCCTTTCAATACCTTTCAACCTTCTGCTCTCTTAAACTAAACCTTCTCACCCGTATCTTCTCCAACTCTCAGTCGATTTTCACTTTTCATCTCATGGTCTGTGAAGCAACCACCTAGCTACTATGGGAACCAGGGGCCTCGTTTTTATCCGCTGCCGTGGTAGATACTTCGTCTATTACAATCAATTCGACAGTTATCCGGAGGGATTAGGCGACGCCATCTTGAATGACATACCTGAAGACCCGGAGAAATATCAAGGCGAGTCCATATTTCTTCGCCTACATAACAGCATGCGACGTAACTAACAGCCAGTCAGAATGGCTCCATTATATGCGAAAGGTCTATGCTCAGCTCGTTCACCAGTTTGAGACACAAACTCTTCCGGTCAAGGTTCAAAGCACCCGAGAAGAGTACTCGAGCGTGGCTCTGAAAGAGCGCTACGCAAAGAGCTTCTGGGCCATCGATGATCGACTGCAACTACCCCCACTACAAACAGTCGTTCCGGAGCTAATGAATGCATGGAACATTGAATGGACCTACACCCTTGATTTAGATCGGGAGGTATTGACGGTTGACAACTCCCTTCATCTCTACCTAGCCAGACTTCCCCGTGCTGGGGGTTGGATTAAGTATCTTGGACTAGATGGCAGAGGCCGTCGGGCAGCTGATCGGTGCACACCTGAAGGGGTTGTCGCCAATTTTGGCTGGAAGCCGGAGGTAGATTGTGCCTCCAGAGATAGGTATAGCCACTTGGACATTCAGGTCGCTCCACTGGAAACATTCTACGACCAAGGAGACATCATTGAGGCACGCGAGTCATTACTGGCTGCCATCTTTAAGCGCATGCACCAGAGGTATCGACCTGTCCTGGATGCCTGTCTTCCAGAGTGGGATCCCAGTTGTTTCTCGTTCAGGGAGATAGCCTTTGCCATACTGTCCATTGCTGCTGGTGAAATAACACTTGAGTGCGCTAGCAGCCTGGACCAAAACCACCAGACAGAAGGCTACTACCTGGCTCGACAGGATGTTTCCCCCGAACTGACTGCGCCCGGCTATCTACCAACCGTTCTTCCACATTTCCTACACGAGTCTCACATCCCGGGTACTCAGTCTGGCTCAGCACCCAGTAGCAAAATATACTGGCTCAGAAATGTCCTTGTGTGCTTGGTGACTAGACTGGATCTGGTCGAGGTCGAGGAGGCATCCGTTACCGAAGTTGTGGAAGCTGGCCTCAAGCAGGGACTAAAAGAGTTCCATGCCATGGTATTCTCTATCTTAGATGTGGTGCTGCTTCGTGTCCAAAAGTTCTCAGATGGAACCGTACATGTTAGCAGGTCTCCTCTTACCGCACTGATACAGTTTGATGATAATAACTCAAAATTTGCGAATGGCCCTCGGACAAGGGTGTTTTCTCCTACCCCTGTGCAGGAAAATACATGCACGGCCGAGGAACCCATGAATGACTTTGAGAACCTAGAGTTGGCCAGTTCGTATGATTCAGAAAGGTCTAGACGAGAACAAATCGCTGGCCCTAGCCACGAGGAAGTCTCTGATGCAGAAGATGTGGCCGCCTCTGTTCGGGAGCCCCGATTTTTGAGTTCAGAGCCTGTGGAATCACTTCTGCCAGTACATGAAGCCCCTATCGCTGATGATGATCATGGTATCAGCCCGGTCTATTTACCGGTCGTCGATGACGGAAGCGAAGATGCTGCTAGTTCCGAGCTACAAGAGGGGTCTCAGCTTGAATACCCAGCAAGCGGCTCAGATATTTCGAACGATATAGAATATGATGACGATGACGGAGAATCTGCTAGTTACAGTTCAAGGAATAAGACGCACGCCGATGTTTTTCTCACGGTCTTACGTTTCTTTGACGCAGCTACTTATCATAACCTGAAGCATGCAAAGTCGCGCGTGTTCCCCAATGAAATACTTGGAGCCATCATGAAGTTCTCCGATACGCAGACCTATCGCGCGCTTGGTGAAGTGTCATCTTACTGCCGAAGAACCGGCAACCGTGAGTTTCGCTTGAATGATGACTATGCTGTTGTGGGTTTTGACAGTGCCGAACAAAGTCTCATCTTGGAAGATCTGCACTCGGGGAAGAGGAGCAATTCCCAAGTAAGGCATTCCAATGAAGATTCGTGGTTCCCTGTTACCCTCAAAGACGATGAGATAAAGTTGAATCCTGTGATCGGAATAGCCGATCGCACTAGACAAAGTATTCTGGATTCTGTGGGCATGGTATTCTCGGAGGTGATCCACAGACGTTCTCCTTATACGAAGCAGATAGACATGCCCGAACAGTAAGTCTTGATGGCCAATTGGGTTATGGGTATCTAACCTCCTCTTCAGGATGTACTATGACTATTATGGCGGCAGTCAGATCCAAGAACCCGAGCTCCTATTCAAGATCGAAGAACACACATATGTCGGGTCTGTCGAAGATGGCTGGGGCAGGTATCTTGCGCGCAACTACCAGCTCAACAGTGGTTTGGATAATCCGGACTATTTGATCGTTCATATTCGTGGCCCGACATTCCGTTGCCTTCTACCCCCTAGGTACCGTGAGCTCGTCATGGATATCACTCATTGCAATGGGTTGTATTGCGTTCTGCGCCACGTCCGTGACGAAAGTGCCGAGGAATGGGACCTGACGATGAAGCATACTCTGCGTCAGCTTCATCAACGAGAGAAATCGGAGAAATCGAACTATACTGTCTGTACCAGAGGACGACCTGTTGTGGTGGCCTTTACTACGAGGGTCAGACTATTTTATTATGTGCACCGGTGTGAAGATCCCATAGCCCTTGGAGCCGATGCTAGTTCTTTGTCTCGTGATATCGCTGCACGGTGTACGGATACAGATCCCAGTCAACGTCTCATTCCCCTTCTTCCTGGAGGTAAGACCATCGACTTGAAGAAAAGCGATGAGAGAAATGAATTTGAGAGCTGGATGAAGATCTTCTGCGGTAACATAGGAAAGTCGACTGAGTGGGATCCTTTCACGGAAAAACAGCAGCCTCTCATTCCCAACAAGAATGTGCCCAGAAGCCCTGTGCAGGACACAGACGAGCCTTTCTTGTGAAGAGGGAACAGAGGTATAGGCAATTGTGGGCAGCGATACATTAACAAGTAATGACAGTATATCCTACATCTTGAAGTGGCCTTGACTGTGTTTTCGATGCTGTGCCGGCTTGCATTCTTACCACATTCGTCTGCTTTCCTAGCTCAGAATACTTTATCAGAAGATACAGAGATATCAAGGATGGGTAGAATGCTATTTCAGAACCACTTGCCTAGTCCAAATCTTATCACGGTGGTATTTGCTGAGACTTGTGTTCTTTCTTAGATGACCCGCTTGCTTCCTTGTTTCTTACATTGATATGCACTAGCGATAAAGACAACAGAATGATACACACTCATAAGGACTTACGTCAATGTCATACTCATATAATGATCTTAACCAATACAGCGTATCCTCTATCATTCCACAACCAGTAAACCCACCGATGACATCTTAGGAGCACTCTCTAAATAACACCTCGGGCAGCTACTATGTAAGAGTGCAATGTAGACTAAACCACCAACCGGAGCATGACGTAACATAGTAGTCAGTAGGGCCCTTCTTCTCATTCCTTCCCACACTGACTAGGCTAGTATTCAAACCAAGCCATGAATTCACATTCATATACCCGATCGAGCCGGCTTAGTTAAGATTGCTAGCTATGCAGGTGCTTCACCTTTTCCAAGCAAAGAATATCGCCCCGAACGCCTACAAAACCCCTCAAACTCGCAATCATCCCAAAGCAACGCACGCCACGACGTAGAAAAGTCAGTCGTTGTTTTAGCTAAACACAAACCAAAACACATCAAAAAGTAATGTGAAGTGTAGACATCCAAGGAAGATACAGTCGAGTGTCGCAGCCGGCTGGCCCGCTGCCTTGCCTGCAGCATGAACTCGGCGAACTTACTAGGCTAGTAGCTAAAGCCCGTCCAGTCCGACTCCAGCTATATCATGTCAATATATTGTTATAAGTATTCGTCCACTCTTATTTATATCCAAGGCAGGAGTGCATATTGCTATGAACTAAGAAAAGTGTGATCTTTGTGACATTTCTAAACATAGTCGTATGTAAATAAGACATAGGATAGGGAGGTAGGTAGGTAGGTATCAATCAACAAACCCGAACAAAAACTGAAAGATGCAACAATCCAAAGTTTAGACTCCCATGTCAGAATCAATGAAAAGACAGCTCAGGCCCAAAAATGCATGTGAGAATGCAATATCATACCCAACTCCATACACAAAACCCCATAAAGGTCAAATAAATCCATCATGCAACCAGACACAACATACACATCCAGCCCAATTCACAGGTGGTCAATCAGCGATACCTGGCCAACGTATCCCTCACCAACTCCAACACCTCCGTCTGGACCTCCGCCTGCGAAGCCCGCACATCCACCGTAAGGGCATCCCACTCGCCCTTGGGCTCCTCGAGATCCTGCAACTGCGACTGCACCATACTACTCTTCATATAATGGGCCTGTCGATTCATGACTCTCTGCAACAACATGGTCTCATCCAACTTGAGATAGATGAAATGGATCTGTACCGAGGGGGATCCGTACGCCGCGACGCGCATCACGTCCCGGTATTTCTGCTTCAGGGCTGAACAAGCAACCACTACGCCGGAGGGTGGGTGGAAGTTGTTAGTTTCGGAGGGGGATAGCGCCTCGATGGCGGCTTGGCGGAGGGAGATGAGCCAGTCCCATCTGTCGGCGTCGGTCAGGGGGATGCCGTTGGACATTTTTTCTTTGTTGTTGGGGGTGTGGAACTGTAGATTGGTTGGTTGGTTAGCTTTTGGGTGCGGTTGTGGTTGTGGTATGTTAGGTAGGGTTTGGTTTTGGTTGGTTGTACGTACATCATCACCCTCTAAGAAAGGAATGCTAAGTGCTTGTTGAATCCCCTTGCCTACTGTGCTTTTCCCGCATCCTGCTGGCCCCGTCACTACCCAGATGTGTTGGATTTGGTCTGCTGGCGGTGTTGTGGTGGTGGTGTTGCTGCCGGTGCTTCCCCACATGGAGTTGGCCACGGAGTTGGTCAATGGGCTTTTGCTGATGGGACCGCGTGTGGAATCTACTACTGCCGCTGCTGCGTTGGTCATGGTGGGTTGTTGGGGTCGTTCGCCGGCGGAGAGCATGGTGGTGATGTTGTTGGTGGAGTAAGTAGGAAGGGTTTTGAGAGGTGAGGGAGTTGAGAAGTTATGTATGACGTCCTTGCGAACCGTGGGATAAATAGGGTTGGTTGTATTTCAATTCAGTTTTATCCACCCGGGAGGAATAGTGGTGGGAAGTATAATATGTTGGATGAATGCGAATAGCCTATAGCGGCGCAAGTGGTCACCCGACGAGAAATGAGGAGAAAATTGCGGTAATTGAATGTAGTGGTGGTGGTGGTGGTGGTAGGTGAGGTGAGTGGTATGAATAGTATGGGGTAATGGAGTCTTCGGCAGTGACTTGGGGTATATAAGTAGTATAAAGGAAGGGGGAGAGAAGAGGAAGGGGAATTAGATCATAAAAAATAATAGATAGATAGATTTCAGGGCAGTTTATAACAAATCAATAAATCAATAAATCTCCTTCAAGTATGAAATGCAAGTGGGTCACCTTGTCGGGCACAGTAATCTCATTGGGACTGCCAATTTCTCATAAATCCTTCTCTTGATTTTCTTTGATTTTTCTCAACTCAAATATGAGACCCGGCTTTGAGTAATGAATTAATAGCAGGTTGGGGCCGGAAATTGCCAGAAGGGTTTCCACCGCATCGTCATGGGCTGGTGGTGAATACTAGTCGGGGACCGATCCAAACCACATCCGCCATCGAATCACAAAGCAGCCGAAAACTATTTGCAGGCGCAAAAGAAGTAGGGCATTCCGAGTGGGGGGGATATTGAGCAGCGAAACGGGCGAGTGGGGGAGACTCTCTCCAAGTCACTTTTCAGGAGTCCGGCGGTCTGGTCATTAGCGGGAGATCCGATCGGTAGCAAAACAAATCTCCTCGTATTGTCGCATACACACCTCCATACAAGCCTGAGAGAATGAATGAAAAGTACGCGCGCATTCCCTTCCCCCCCCCCCCTTATTGCCTCATTTACTCTTCAGCAGCAGGAACAGGGGAATTTTGCCCGGTAAGGAACCAGTCAGCTCAGCGAAACCATCATATCCCTGTGTCATCCAATGAAATGTTGCTGGCTGACTTTGTCCGGTCTTCCCGCCATGATGTCACTGGGTCTGCTGCAACCGGGGATTCGGAACCGTAATTTCGTACGTCTGTTTCTGGTTTCTGACGGTACCGGGACGGGTAATGGCTCGAACCCCCACGCTATTCCTAACCCGGTATTGGGTCACCGTCCCCAAAAGGGTCGTTTTCCACGGTGCGCTTTCCAGGCCATATACTCTTGCTAACGGACCGTCTAGAGTGGTCCCGAGTACAAGAACAGGGACTTCAATGTCTACCCCGGTCCTTGCAGATAAGATAAAACAACGGTTAAAGGTTGAAGTGACTTAGTCTACAGGATCATTTCCCGCGCCAAGCTCAACTTTTCATCCTTTCTCATCCGACTGGAGAACAAAGAACCTTCAACCTGCCGATGTTCGTTCCCGTGGCCTCCACGGCAATCAAGCCTGCCTAGTCTGGCCCAACTTGGCCAGACGACAGGTCAAATCAAGGTCTTCAACAACTCACGGGTGTTACTTTCGCTGGAACTTTGCTGCCTCTCTGTGTTACCATGCTAGCCATGGACTGAGAAAAACCAAAAATAAGCTGCGGAAGACCGCCATTCCTCCCAGGAACCAGTCAGAACCCATGCGGACATATCTGGCACCCGCTGATTGATCCTGCATACTCAACGCTTGGGACTGTGGCGTGCAGATGGATGGCCGCGGCTCAGTCTGGGGAAACTCTGATTGCTGGCATGCGAGTCAATAATGCAGATGTCGAATTTCCCCGACGAACTTCCTTCCTTGGGAGGAATCAGGCAGTCTTGCTGCCAGCACGACGTGCAGTACAACCTAGATACTCTACTTGGTACATCCAACAACACGGAAACATGTTTCCAGCAATGCCAATTAAGGTTACGGGCCCGCGGCTCTTTGCATATTCCTACCAATAGACAAGTCTTTCTCTTGACTGGGTGCCCGATGACTGCCTGTCTGAGACTGTGATCAAGCATAAAAAGCAGTCTGCATGCGCACAGAGGTGTAACAACGCTGGGCAGATGATGCGGTTACCCCTCCTGACCGACAGGATTTAGATGGACGTTCAATCAAAGCCCACGGGTTTAGCATGCGCTGTCGTCCGGCAAATTCTCGTAGTGTCATCGTAGGATCGGTCATATGCTGCACGACCCTTCATGGCGGACAAACTTGCCTCGATCACGAATGGTAAATTTCTCCGTCTGTGCCATGTCAATCGTATCATGGATCGTAGGGGCATACAGTGTTCTTCTAATTTGACATATCCGGCTCTCCCTTACCTAACAGATATGGCAGTTCTGTCGCGATCAATCTCTGCATAATAAACTCTCCAGCTTTTCTATTCATGAAAGGCCCCTAAGAGCAGAGCTTTCCCTTCTAATGAGCGACTACTATGGCATTTATGTGGTGATGATGGTATAGTCGCGGATGACATAGTACTGCTTACCTAAGCAATGATATGCCAGGTTGCCCACCGCCAGGCAGTTGGGATGCCGCCAAACCAGATGAAGCTGAGTGCGACATGGCCATTGTGTGATATCGCATTCCATAGGCCGATTCACCAAGTACACTACGCTCGTTCCAGCTGATTGACCTTATTTTATCTTCCTTCGCCCTCGAACTCCTCGCCTACGATGACCTCCCTCTTCTTCTCCACTCCCGTCGATATCGATGTGGTCCTCGAAGACAGCGATGAGCGTCAGACGGTTGATGTCAAGCTCGACAAGGGCCGTCGCGAAAGGGTCCCCCTCTACATGGATGGAGAGTCTGTCAAGGGTGCTGTGACGGTCAGACCTAAGGATGGAAAGCGCTTGGAACATACGGGCATCAAAGTGCAATTCATTGGCACGATCGGTATGGAACAATGGCTCTGATGAGGGGGCGGGCATGCCTCATCATCATCCCCATTCCACAGTTGCTCTAAGGCTTCAAGTCTCGATGCTAACATGGAATTGCTTGTCCAGAAATGTTCTACGACCGTGGTAACCATTACGAATTCCTATCGCTGGTACAGGAGCTCGCGGCTCCCGGAGAACTGCAGCACCCCCAGACCTTCCCGTTCAATTTCAAGAATATCGAGAAGCAATACGAATCATACAACGGTATCAATGTTAAGCTACGATACTTCGTCCGCGTGACAGTATCCCGGCGCATGGCGGACGTGATTCGGGAGAAGGACCTCTGGGTCTACTCCTATCGCATGCCCCCCGAGACCAACAGCCCCATCAAGATGGATGTCGGTATCGAAGACTGCCTGCACATTGAGTTCGAATACTCCAAATCCAAGTACCACCTCAAGGATGTCATCGTAGGACGCATCTACTTCCTGCTCGTGCGCTTGAAAATCAAACACATGGAGCTATCCATCATCCGTCGTGAGACGACCGGATCTCCGCCAAACCAGTATAACGAGAGCGAGACGCTCGTGCGCTTCGAGGTAAGTCTGCATACAACTAGAATGGCTGCATGAGGTCCAAAGCACTAACTGGCTGCACGCAGATCATGGATGGATCACCTTCCCGAGGTAAGTCGGTGGCTCGGACTCACCTGGCTCTCAGACATCGCAACACGTCACACTTGCGGTATTATCACAACGGAACATCTCTCCTGACCTGTTTCTAGGTGAAACCATCCCCATCCGTCTATTCCTTGGAGGATTCGACCTTACCCCGACATTCCGCGACGTGAACAAGAAGTATTCGACACGCTACTACCTCAGCCTGGTACTTATCGACGAAGGTACGTGATACTGCATCCATCTGCGTTTCATTTGCGTTTTAGCCTTGTTTGGCGACTGCCGTTCATGAATCCCGTCTGGCGTGGGATAACCACATCGGCCATCCCACGCATGTGAGACCAGGCTTTGGGTTGCAAAGGCGTGGTGGTGGCTAGCTAGCCGGCCCACTTCCTCCATACCATTATCCATCCCACGGCATCCCACCACCCAGGTCAATAGCCGGTCGGCTATTGATACCCTTAATCGGGCCGAAATGCTGCGATCTGGCCAGTGGCCACAGTTGGGGTGTTTCCCCCCGTGACTAACCCCCACGCTAAACCTCAAACTATTCTGGTCTCGCGTGGTAGCCCCACCGGCCCCAGTTCCCTCCCGTTTTTCCTTGCGTTCCGGAAGTTTCGATCGTCACATTCAAACACCCATCGTACTAACACCCCCGATCTATCTATACAGACGCTCGCCGTTACTTCAAGCAATCCGAAATCGTCCTCTACCGTCAAGCTCCCGAGATTGCTATCACTCCTCAAATCGCCCAGCAGCAACAGATCCAACAACAGCAGCTCCTCCAACAGCAGCAGCAACAGCAACAGCTGCCCGCTGGTTCTGCGACCGCCGGCCCCGGACGAACTGACACCCAGCCTCAGTTCACTCAGCAAATCCCGGCGGCTTAATCCAATCTGTGTCCGCGTCTCATGCTGTAGCGAAATAGATCGTCTTTCGTTCATGGGCTGCTACTGATGTTCAGACTTCCGTTTGATGTTACCTAACCCTTACCCATTATACCCTTCTGTGTATTAAACCTATGTCTGGCTGTATTTCTCCCTGTGTTATGATGAAATCTCAGCAACATGAAATTTACTTTATGATCTGTTCCGTATTTGATCCTTTCTATTTGTAAATTTCGCGGTGATATAAGAAGCAAGCAAGCAAATTTGGTCCTATTACCTGACTATGGTGTCAATGCTAATAAGGTGAAAAACACGATCTAAGACTACCCGAGGAATGCTCAGCAAGAAGTGTAATCGAACACAGAACCATTAGCAACCTAGTCATACAGCAAAGTCCAGTAGACACAAATAAACAACCCAAGGACAGGCAACAACAACGCTTGCTAGATGGCACGATCGTCTATGTAATACTTATGTCCCAACGAGCTTAAAACATCATATATGGAAAACAAGAACAACAACAACTGGCATATAGGCAACTCTATACATCATACATAATAACCAGCAGCAGCACTACCACCATTAACCTCCTGAAGAATCTTCCCGAGAGCATGCAGAACTTCACCGTCATCCTGTTCCTTCCCGGCAACTTGCACGGCCCGCACAACAAGCGGGTAGATCCATGCAAGATGCTTTTTGTGATCCTGGTCAGAGTCAGAACTAGGTTTAGCGGTGGTGGCTGATTCGCTCGGCGCTGTCTTGGGCGGTGGGATCGCCGACGGCTCGCTACGCAGGTCTACCATGCCGCGGAGGAGATGTAGAAGGGATCTGCGCGCGGGCGTGGGCTGCGGCATTAGGCCGCGGAGGGGTTGGTCTGCGATGTAGCCTTTCAGGGATACGGCACAGCGGAGGATAAGGTATGGGGTGATGGAGCGGGCAAGGAGGATGAGAGCGGTGTTTTGTTGCTCGGATGCGGCTTGTGTGGCTTGGTTTGAGGGCGATGATGCTAGTTCGAAGAGTGTGTCGATCACAGCATATGCCATTTTGGTGCGTGTCGTGGGTGGAGGTTCGAAGGTCCTTCCGGGTCTTATTTCATAGATGTCTTTGAGGGGTTGGTCTTGGAGGGATTTGGCGGGGATGTCGAAGCGCTGAGGGAGGTAGATGAAGGACGAAAGCAATAAGGCGCAGGAAAAATCCCGGCGGATTAAGTCCGGGATCACGGATGCTCCGAGTGATGGGATTATTAGTTTCTTCAGTCGTTCAAAAGCAGCCACGTCAAAGGACTCGTCTTCCAGGATGGTGGCCCGGGGAACGGAAGTGGTTCGATAACCTCGAGCAGTGACAATACCGCTTGCGATGTCATTGACGCTCTTCCAGAATTGTGTGATTTCAGGGCGCTCCGAGTCGCCATATTGTGTCTCCACGTAAGGTATTGCAACTTGAAGAACGTTCAAAGAGGCCGTTGTTGACTTTCGCCAGAGGCTCGGTTCCCGATCCTTCCCTGACCACTCATATCTTTGGACAATAGGGTTTGCGAGGTGCTCTAGGGCCGTAGCCAGTGAACCGTTCGTGAAGATGTCTTTCTTGATGCCGTGATCAGCGATGTACCAGCTCAGGAGATCTATCGCGGCTTTAGAGAAGGCAAGATAAGTCGGTCTCTTTGAGTCACTCGAAGAGTCCCACTTTGTCAATGGTGCATCGGCAAAATCAGCAAGACATAATAGAATCTCTGGTTGTGAGTCGTCTTTCTCAAGGCATAGGGTCTTCAAGCACTCAATGATCATGGTTTGAAGGCGCGATAAGCGATCAATGTCTGGTGAGTATGGAGGGGATATTGAATTCCAAGCGAGTAGACGCAGATGTCCGAGGATGCTTTCCACCTGCTCTCCAGCGATTTCATCCTTGTATAGTCGATAAATCTGCTGGAATGACTGGAGGTATGCTATTGCCGCATCTTGATTAGGGCGTTCCAAGTCAAGTATATCTTCCCTATCTGCCGGGTGTCCATCTACCCAGAGTAGCCAAGCAGAACGCAGGGCTTGTGTGCTTAGACTACAAGATGCCTGCACACGACGAAGAATATTCGAGAGGCTGGCGTATACAGCCTCGCTGAACTCAAGAAGCCGTAGGCTGATCAACTTCCGGAAATATTCAAGCAGTCGTACCCAAGACTGATCGAATAGGTCGTCTTGAACTATCGGCTCAAAGAAAGTAGTGATGAGATCAGAAGCCCCCTTTATCATGACAACAGTGGTCTCAGTCCACGCCTTGAGATCATCGGGGGTGCGACTGCTATTCTCCTCTCGTGTAATCGTGAGCTCGGTCTCGATTTCCTCAACCATTCGAAATAAGACACGGTTCAGACACAGGCGCCATGCCTTGGGCGACAACTGCTGACCGTAGGCGTCAAAGATCCTCAAGAGAGTTTGAACGGCGCAGTTTCGAATTTCTGGCCTGCTATCCGTCGTGAGGTCAACAATTCGTAGAAGGAGCAATAGCCACAGTGCGTTTCGCGACACTGAAGGGTCCTCCCCCTTAGCTAGCCCTGCAAGGGTGTCTTCAGTCACAGAGGAGTCAACGTGTGTCTCAATGCAAAATTGCTCGATTTGTCCCTGGAGGAAGTCCGAAACATTCCAGAAAGATGAGGTAGTTGTCAATGAAATATTGAAATCCTGCTGTTGCAAGGCAAATTTTGAGAAAGAGTCTACAAGACTCAACCGACAGGGCACTGGAAGCAAGGAAATGAAGTCGGAAGCTATTAGCTGCAGAGACTTGTACGCGACACGAACAAGTCGCGGTGAATTCGCTGTCGATGATGGCTGACGCCCTTTCTTTGGTGTTTCGGTGCCGTTGGGCTCGCCGAAAACACTTGTTATGAGATCAAAAACAACGGACCATCCATCAACGAATGTTTCGGCATATTGTTCGAGTATGCTCTTTAGAGTTTCCAAGCTCTGTTCATGAACTTCGGCCACGGGCGCAGAAGGCGACCCTGCCGAACAAGCTCCACAATCATAGAGCAGTTGAACTTGAAGCTTGAGTGTTTGGAGGTTTCTCAATTGCCGTGCATTCCGCTCGGAGACATCTCCGGTATCCGTGTGCTTCAGTGTCTGGAAAACAACGTCATTAAGAACCTCGTTGGCTCGTAGGCGAAGCTTTTGGATATTTGATCTGTCCGCTGCACTTGACATCAATCTTCCCGTAAGAAGTTGCCAAGCGTCTTGGTCAGTATCAGCTAGTGATGAGAAACGTTCAAGGTTTGCCCGGGCTAGCTCGTTTGCCTTCTCGAGGACAAATTTCAGGAGTTCATCTTGCGTTTTTGACTTTCCCATAGAGCGAGATACGCGGTGGGTGTTTTTGCGCATCAAATATGAGCGCGACTGAGGTGAAAGAACGGTGCTTGTTGTCTCAGCCGATTCTTGCGTCGATTCTTCGGGTGCTCCAGAAAGATCTAAGAGCGCAGTCAAGATTTCCTGAAATGAATCGCTGGGATATTCGCTAGTACTCTCTAGCATTTTAGCTGATGCTGCCTGCACGGCTAATATCTCGGAATTGAGATTAGCCTTAGGCACATCGACACCAGCAGCAGAGGAGGTTTCCCCAGAAGTAGTGGTTGAAGCTTGTGACTTCGTGGAAGCCATACCGATCACCAAATCTGTGTCTTGTAGGGTTCCTAGTATTATTGACCAGGCCGGCTGGTCTAGTGTAGGGCCTAAAGCTATGCCCAAATTGAGCAGCGCCCTCAAGCACAGGAGGTTCCGGGTACTGAGGGACACAAGCGCAACGTCCGAAGGCGCACTGGAAGTCTCAGCCGGTAATGGGGAACTAGTAAGCGACGCCTGAGACCCCTTCGATTTCTCGTCTGATGATTTGTTAGACTGAGAAGCGGCTGTGGTAGGCGCTGCAGTACCTGCAGTCCTCGTGGAAGTTGCGTCTGCAGGCATGGCTGCCTTCCCTATAGTTGTTAAAAGAGCATCGCGAGGCGTAGATAACCTGAGAAGGCCAGCAACGTGGGCTAACTTCTGAATTGATCGAACAAGGTTGTGGTAGAAGTCATCATCAAGCGAGGCGTATAGAAATGTTGAGCAAGCGGCAAGGATAGCAGGCCAGCACGTCTCAATGATTCCAGCACAGCTTTGTATTGCTGGGAGTTGGGGATGAGATTCCAGCATCAGGGGATTAATCGGTACAGAAGACTTTTTGGGACTCAACGGCTGCAATCCTTTCGAGGAGTTCGTCCGTTGAAGGTCCTGTGAAGGCCGAGAAGAGCCACCATCTGGGTGGGGACTCATGACACGACTTCTCCGTTTTTGCTTCAGATCGGGCACTGTCAATGGAAGTATGAATTTCGCCAGTCCTTCAGCAAAGCTACCGATGCAATTCAACACAAGACTATAGATATATGTATCAGGAGGAGTAGGAGGATCGGTCTTGTCAAGCAACTCCATATACGGTGTGCGAACCACACTCCACTGACTGCTGATTCCTGGTACATCAGTGTCCGTTGATGGAACGGTAGTCCCGATGACGCCAGCAACTCCACCAGCCTCGAGCGTGATCTGCTCCTCAGTAATAGATCTTGCATGCTCAACCCTGGAAGGCACGGTCGACCGGCTACTAACTCCGATCAATGTGGGCTTTTCAGAAGTAAGGCGGACAAGAGAGGCCATATGGTCTTTGAGGATATTCTTTCTCCGGTCATCTCTGTCGTACAGGGAATACATGAGCCTAACTAGACCTGGTTCGGCATACAAGCCTCGAAAGACCTCCATGCAGAGGACTCGTTTCCAAGGTGAGTTTCCGTCTGGCTCAAGGAGATGCGTCAAGAGACCAAGGGCCATCTCGCACTCCGCGGGAAGGAGAGACATATGGCGTTTAAGGAGCACCAGTAGGATGCGACTGACTCGAACAGTCTGCGAAAAGCTATGCCGCTCAGACAGATATCTCACGATCATGGGCATGAGCCGAACTCGCAAAACCTGCGTTAGCTCGGAATGGACAACGAATAGTTTGCCGCTGTTGACCAGGATGCTCTCAATAAGCTCAAGGGTGAACGATGAAGAGAGGGACTTGATTCGAAGGAAGTACAAGGGTTCGCCATCGATGAGTCGGCAGAGGTCATCCAGGACCTTATGAGTGAGTGAGCCATGGAACCGTGTCAGCTTAAGTGGAAGGCCACCTACCCGCAGAGCATCGTATGCAAAGTACCCTACATTCACAGGGTTTCCGTCGACCTTAACAGTCGTCGTTGGAGTGGTTTTATCGAAATTCTCTGGTTCTCTTGTCAGACCCGTGTCACATTAGAGGGGATAAAAAGTAAACGATCACTGACTGTCTTCAATGGACACACGGTCAAAGGTTGATACGATCAGTTGCTGCAATGTGGCTGCGGCGGTACTAGAGACTGCAAGCATCTTGTTCCCTTGCAGAGTAGCACAGATTTCCAAAGTGCTCACTAGGAGGTCTCCTCCCAGATCACTGGAATAGTGCTGCAATAGTGAAGGCAGCGACTGCAATATTTTGAGCTGGATATCCAGGCCTTCGCAACGTCAGTATGGAATGTAATGCTTGTGGGTGGTTACTTACTCATGTTCGTTGTCTCCTTCAACCCAGCGAGTACATCCTTCAACCGCTCAGACGGCAATGATCGCGAGGCCACCAGCCTTTGCAGGCAGACGACCCCAATGCCTGCGAGCTTTGCATGGCGGCTGTGGCACGCAAGGATGAACGGATTTGCAAACTTAGGTTTGCGCACCAAGTCTATAAAAAGTTCAGCGTATGCCATTAACGGAGGTACAAGCTGGTGGCTTGCAAGCGCTCACCTGCCGAAATCTGCGCTTCAGAAGTAGAAGGCAGTGCCTTCAATTCATTAAGGGACTCTTCAGCTGCCTACAATATAGTCAGTACTGGCACTTGCGTATCCCTTTAATTGAGCGATTAATCATACATTACGCAATTCAGAGTTTCTTCTCTTAGATTCCTGAATCAGGTTCAAGAGCTCTGTCTGCAAAAATTGAGAGGACATTTCCACCGGAGTGCTTTATCAGTACATGGCCGATGCCACTCCCTATCGATCAAATAGTAGTATCACTAGGCAGATGTGGCTTCATGTGGTTGGGTCGCTGGTTGGACGACGGAATACAAAGCTAAGCACTTGAAACACGACAATACCAGACCAATATGTTCCAGAGACAAGCCGCATCAATATAAATCTGCAGCAGCTGTAGCAGACAATGACTGGCTCATTAAAAACAACTCTGAAGCAATGGCATCAGGAGTGACATCTTGGGGAGCGCCAAGGCACCCGCGGAGATAGAGCTATCACGTGATGCATACAGCCGTTATCATCACGTGTGGTAGTTCTTCAGGAACCCGGCGGGACCAGATACGCAGCCCAAACGGCCGGAAGTGGGACAAGGTCACAGTGCCCCTCCTCCGCCCCGAGGATCGAAACGTCTTTCTTACAACTTCCTATCTAACTTTCGTTCACTTTCGACCTAATTCTACCTCTTATCTGCACAATGGCAGCTAAAGTGCCCAGAAATTTCAGACTGCTCGAAGAGCTGGAGAAGGGTGAGAAAGGCTTGGGAGCTGGTAAGTGCTATGCTACTCATAGTCATAAGAGACCCATTTCGCTGACGTATTCCTATCGCTATTACCTAGAGTCATGCTCCTATGGTCTTGCAGATGGTGAAGACATGATGATGAGTAACTGGAACGGCACTATTCTTGGCCCCCCTCACGTTCGTCCACCGCTTCCGGCTCGCATCCGTTATACTACACAATAGCGTCACTGACATAATGAACGAGCGCAGAGTGTCCACGAGAACAGAATTTACAGCGTCAACATCCATTGCGGTCCGGACTACCCCGACAACCCCCCTACTATTCAGTTTGTATCCCGAGTCAACTTGCCATGCGTTGATGGCCGGAGCGGAAAGGTAAGGATTTGTCCTGTCTCGACCACTACTACTTGAAAGGCTTCCAGTCTGACTTCATATAGGTCGATCCTACCAAGCTGCCCTGCTTGGCTCAGTGGAAGCGCGAGTATACTATGGAAACTATTCTAGTTGAGCTCAGAAGGTAATCATTTCCTGACCTTCAGGCTATTGTGTCTTTATACTAACAGTTCCCAGATATATGGCTCTGCCCCAGCACAAGAAGCTCCCGCAGCCTCCGGAAGGCTCGAACTTCTAAAATGACGGTTTCATGACTGGATGGGGGTACGAAAGCGGAGTATATGGTTGGTTTCTAAGTCAGGTTCATCTGCATTTCTCTTCAAATGGCTTATTAGAGCATGTACAGTCTATGCATACCGGCGGGCATGGCGCGGTCTTCTTTGAAGCCTAGTTGCAATTCATCGATTTAGAACATTGCTCAGTATGAACCGTGTGTCGCTTTTGTCAAAAGCCATATCTGCCGAACTAACAAGACCTTGTACCCTTGTTTTGGGCGGGTATTCGTTCATATTTTCACAGCTTTCAGAAGCGACCATACCGGCGAAAGACACTAGACCATGATCAGCATATAGAGGAATATCCGGGAATCGGGTCCCTTCCGTCGCCTGTTGTAGATCGGATAACAGTAGAATCTATACAGCTGCACGGCACGCACTGCAAACTTCCGGTGCAGTCGATTCACAAGTAATAGTGTCGGCCGTTTGTCAGGATTCTGAAAGTTCCTACATCATTGCATGCCCTGATTACAATATTTTTGGTTAATCACAGTATAGGCATACTATCATTTAGTTTACACGTGACGTATTCCGGATTGCCGGAGTAGTCACATGTCTCCGACTAAAGTCCGGAACTTAAGCCTTCAGGATCATGCTGCCTCCTCGATAATGCATAGAACAGTTGTTCCCAGGCAGTCTTCCGCTCATCGTTTCGCAAGTAAGTTTCTTCAGAGACAGTACTATTTACTGAGCGTCACGAGAGTTTGACTAACCGCTGTTTTCCTTTCCAGCTTTGGCACTTTATCGAGCGCTCCTCCGACAATGCGCCAAACTACCACATTCTCCCTCCGAACTTGCTGCGTGCAAGCCGTACATCCAGAATAGGTTCAACAGATACAAAACACTTCAGAGTCCGTCTCAAACAGCCAATTCACTTAGGGCAGGCTACGAGGTGCGTTAACAATCGGCTCTCAATCGACCATTCAGTATCTAAATTCCGCGATTTCGCAAATACTTAGGCTCTTGACCTATTGTACTCAGCCTCGCAAGGCGACCAAAATGGCGTTCAACGGATAAAGAAACTTATATCGGAAAGTGAAGCGGCAAAGCGACAAAAATCCGAATGGCACAGGGAACGAGCTAAGGTTATTCCGGTAAAGCCCGTGAGCCGGAAGGAGCTGAAGAAGGAGGCAAACAAACGATACCGAGTATTGACTGCGAAACGGCATCCGGATGCTATCTCTATTCTTGCACGTCCTCGGCCTGTAGTCAATGGGAAGCGTCGAGTTCCTGTACTCGTGAATGCGCGTGGTTTCCCGTTTCTCCTCATTAAGAAGCCCCAGCCTAAATTTCTTAGCGCTGTGCTGGATTCGAAACTGAAAAGGCGCTGGAAGAGGATGGAGCGCCTAAAAAGGCTCGAGTCCGAGTTGCCGATGGCCAGGGACGAGGATGAATGGGATCTGTTAACTGGCCATAAGGAAGATGCAAAGTGGTCTGGACCGGTTAGAGTGTCACTCAAAGAAGTGCAGGGACAAATATCAGAAGGCGATAGGAGGACCAAGGAACTGGCGCAAGCTATGTGGAAAGTCGTTCTTGAAGAGCGCAAGCTGGCAGAACAAGAGGAGAAGCAACGGGTTGAGCAAGCCGGAGAGCAACCAGCGGAAGAAAAAGGGAATTCCTCAGCAGAGGAACACGATAAGAAACGGCCGAGTGAGGGATGAATCAATGCCGGAAGAAATGTTCTGTTACAGCCACCCAAAGCTTGCGCTTGGCAGTTTATTCTGTCCAGCACTCTGTCCTTATGAGCCCAAAGCCGTCCAATCCACCACGCTACCAGTACGGTGCCATTGTGAGAATTCTCCGGCGTCCCCAATGGGAGCTAAATTCGGCGTACCTACTACCATTTACGGGGTACGCAGCCCCGGCCTTTCATCATGTCCCTTATGACGGGTCAACGCTACTACCAACAGAGTGCGTATTGAAATAAGAAATATGGCAGGTACATGTGCATAGTGCAACAGTGGTTGGCGCATGTACAATTATAACTACCACATACTAGTCTAATGTCATGTACAATGTCTCACAAGGGATCCATACTGCTTCCATCTGCTATGCGGTAATAGACAAATGCTGCCGTAAACTTACTGCACACTAAACTTCATGGTTGGCTATCAACTGCTCAACGTCAACCAGCTAGCATCCTTATCATCCAGCCGAGATTATTTACAATATAGTAATTTCAAAAGCCAATTTCTAGTGGCTCGATCCCCAACAAGCACGGAACTAAATTCTCGCCAGAGATCTCATCTAGAGACCCCAGCTTCTAAGCAGCTATCTTCATGTTCTCCACAGCAGCCGGAATACCATCCTCCTCATCCTCATCAAAGTCTGCCCTTCCAGCAAGACCTCTCTCCCACAGCTGCTTGCCCGTCAACTTCTTTTCTTCCTTTGCCGGACCCTTCTTGGTAGCCTTCTTCTCCTCCGCCTCCTTCTCCTCGCGCTTCCTCTTCTCTTCCTCCTCCATCTCCTTTATGAACTTGTCGCGCCACTCCAAGAACGTCTCCCGATTGACAGCAGTGCCCTGGAACTTCCGGTTCTCCTCCTCTTCCGCCTTCTTCGCCTCCATCTCTTTTTCGGCGTGAACGGCATTCACGCGCTCCGCCATGAGCTCTTCGGCGCTCTCCTTCAAAGCACTAACCAGTGTGAATACCATAGCCATTCCCATGTTCTCCTCAATGGTCGGTTGCAAGGTTTCGAGAAGTCGGTCCCGGTCCTCACTGATGTCTAGTCGGGGGTGTTTCGGTGCGTTCGGAGGCGCACTCAGCTCTAGTTCCGGTGCAACATCCGGGTAGTCTGCGGGGTATGTGACTTGCAGAAGCAAGACAGGCTGCTCTGTTTCTTCGACGTCATTTTCGGGTGCGTCAAGAGCAATTGATATCCGGTATGAGGTGTCAGAAATATCTGGGGTGCGATTCGGTCAGCGATTTTCTTGTTTCATAGATTTCAAACGAAGGGTGTGAGGTGGGTAAAGTGCCGCCTTCTTACCTGTGATTTCCTCAGGAAAAATGGAGTCGAGCACTTCGCGCTCTTCGATCTGGTCTTCGCGGCCCATGCTGCTTCAATTCTGCCGCCGGCGGGGCTGGAGGGGTATTGTTTGGTTCTGGGTTTAGGGACAAGGACGATGGCTGGAAATTCAAGGTCCGGACACTTGAAAATCTAGCAATATGATATATCAAAGAGACCAAACAAATAGTCCCTAGTCTTATGGTCTAGACGTTGAGAGGCTCGTGCTTGGGAAATGAATTCCTCGGTCTTAGGTGTGTAAGTAGAATACGCTGCGATCCCACATGCAAACAAGACAAACAGATAAGGAATCGCCCAAATTTGTCCCGCCCGAAAAAGGGAATTTCTATGCTCCGCCTTCTCGAAATTCAAAGCTTCAAGCATTTACACTCGATTTTCTTATTCAGAAACCTTTCTACCCTTTACTCCGTGTTCTCGAATAACCCCTTCAAGTACGTTTGATATATAATTCCGTTACAGCTCATAGATCATGGGAAAATCAAGACCTCACAACAAGAAGGCCTCCAAATCTCGCGCAAAGTCCGTTTTGGGCGCTGGCGGCTCGGTTTCGAAACAAAAAATGAACGAAGACCCCTCTAAGCTCCTCGAGCAGGCGACGATACAGCTCCAGACCGGTCAACCGGACGCCGCACTCCAATTAGCTCAGCAAGCCCTTAACAATGCGCCGGACAATTCTCCATCTCAATTAGTGGCACTTAATACCGTTGGAGAGATTTACGTTGAGCTGGGCGAGATCGATGTTGCGAAACAACACTTTTTGCGTGCTATCGAGCTCGACCCGAATGGCACGATCCCTGAGGCTGAAGGAGGCGGTGCTGAGAAGTTCCTATGGCTAGCTCAATTGAGTGAACAGGGTGGGAAGGACAGCGTTCAATGGTTCGAGAAGGGAGTGTCGTCGCTCAGGCATATTATCCAGCAGCTCGAGCAGAAACCTGGCCCCGAGGAAGCGCTCGAGCTGGCCGAGAAGAAGCGCAAGATGGCGAATGCTCTATGCGCTGTCGCTGAGATCTACATGACCGATCTCTCGTAAGTCGCTCACCAATTCATCCTTCTTCCCATGGGAGGGTTGGTCGCAGATCTTTTGGTGCTGACTGTCAATAGGTGGGAAGAAGATGCGGAAAACCGATGCGAATCACTCATCACAGAAGCCCTCCTTGTCGCTCCGAATGCGCCCGAAGTACTACAGACCCTCGCATCGATCCGGATCTCACAGCTACGGACAGAAGAGGCTCAAGCAGCGCTCAGGAGGAGTCTCGACCTTTGGAAAGACCTACCGCCTGAGGACTTGTCCATTCCTGACTTTGCGACAAGAATCAGTCTTTCCCGTCTCCTGATGGAGGTCGGCATGGAGCTTGAGGCTCTAGAGGTGCTGGAACGCCTAATCTTGGAGGATGACCAAAGTGTGGAGGCATGGTATCTTGGAGGATGGTGTCTGCAGCTCCTGGCCGGGAAGCAACAAGCACCTAAGGATGCCGACGAAGAGGACGGCAACACCCCGGAGGCCAGGCGCCATGCATCACTCGTGGCTAGCCGCGAATGGCTCAAGCAAAGCTTGACGCTGTACGATCTCGTTCAGTATGAGGACGAGAGACTTAAGGAACATGCACTGGAATTGGTCCAAGAGATGAACAAGGAGATCGGTGAAGATATGGATGACGATGAGGCCGGGGAGGGTGAAGAAGATTGGGAGGACGAGGAGATCGAGGTGGAATCTGATGGCGATGACGAGATGGCTGACTCATAAAAAAGCTGCATGTTTGATTGTTACGAAAGTTCTTTGTCATGATACCAGTATATAAAAGGGCATGTTTTCCGATACAACCTACGGCTATTCAAAGGACTCCGATCGCGGACACGATCCAGCAGTAGTCGAACTAGTAGTAAGTACTAGTAGTAGCTGCGATAGGCTCTCAATCAGCAGACGGCGCCGGATAAAGTAGGATCCGACCGCTTTCCCCCGGCGATAACCAGAGCCAAATTTATTCCGGCAGTTCGACTTCGAGTGGCAAATAGCTCAATGTGAGTGAGGAGTCGTTATAGAGGTTGCTGGAAGCGTCCTATCTTCCCATACAGGATGGACCTTGTTTCAGCGCCCAGCGGGGAGGATTCCTCGTTGAAGGATCCGGTGGTCCAGGTGGAAGCCGTTGATATGGCCTCCGCAGTATCAAAGGCCGGCACCGCAACGGAGAATACAGCCGCTGCGAAGGAAGAAGTGACTCAGTCGGAGTATGAGACCGATAGCGACGGCTCAGGCGACGAGTGGGAAACTCAGTCTCTATACGAAGACGCTATCCAAGTCCTACGCGACGATCAGCTCCGTGAGGGTGGTAAGCACCCTATATGATGTCCTCTATATGCGCGCACTGACCGGGTCCTCTCCTTATTCTAGTACCGGATGCCTGCACATTGGAAGAGGCCGTCGCCTATCGGAAACGACTCCATGAGGTTGGCAAGGCTGCATTTGTTGAAGAAACGCTGGGTCAGGACAAAGTGACTGCGCGGAAGCTGTGTACTGCGTTCGGCATCTTGCCTCCAGCCTTTCTAAACGATGCGCCGGACGAGGCCTTTCATCCTCTCCTGGCTATCGCGATTTCGCGCGAGTTCTCCAGGCGCCCGAAGCTCCCACAATATAATACAATTGATGATGCGGTCAAGTTGCTCAAGGAAAGCAAGAATATCGTCGTCTTAACTGGCGCTGGTGTATGTTGATCAAGAGGATTGGTACCCGTTCTTGAAATGTGTGCTGATAGGATACCCTCAGATTTCTACGAGTCTCGGAATACCCGATTTTCGATCAAAGGACACTGGTCTCTATTCACAGTTGGCGCATCTAGGCCTGAGCGATCCTCAGGAGGTGTTTGACATCCAGGTGTTTCGCGAGGATCCCAGTATCTTCTTCTCGATCGCGAAGGACATTCTTCCTACCGAGAAGAAGTTCTCGCCAACCCACGCCTTTATCCGTGTTCTGCAGGATAAGGGGAAGTTATTGACCAACTACACTCAGAATATCGACAATATCGAGGCGAATGCTGGTGTTCTCCCCGAAAACATCGTGCAATGTCATGGATCGTTCGCCACGGCTACGTGTGTCAAATGTCAGTACAAGGTCAAGGGTGATGAGATATTCGATGAGATCAAGCAGGGCGTTATCCCTCAGTGTGACGCTTGCCGCAAGCGCATCGCAGAAGATTCGGGGATTAAGAGGAAGCGGAGCAGCAACGGAGTCCACAAGAACCGCAAGGACAATGATGGGGACAGCACTGATGACGACTACGAAATACCCACCCCTGGTGTCATGAAGGTTCGTGGAAAGCCACATCTTGTACATTTGTTACCTACAATATGCTGATTCAAACTTCTTCAGCCCGATATTACATTCTTTGGGGAAGATCTTCCTGATGAGTTTGGCCGCCGGTTGCTACACCATGACCGTGATCAGGTGGACCTCGTTATTGTCATTGGGACTTCATTGAAGGTTGCTCCTGTAGCGGAGGTTCCGGGCGTGCTGCCTCGAACGGTTCCTCAGCTTTATATCTCGCGTACCGTATGTCACTTCTTCCTTGTGCCCTTGCGCCTCGAGCTTTGCTAACAAGATTTCAGCCTGTGTCGCATACGGAATTCGATATTGATCTCCTCGGCGACTGCGACGTGGTGGTGTCTGAGCTCTGTCGTCGAGCTGGATGGGAACTGAAGCATGAGATGATTCCCGAAGATGAGAAGGTCGAAGTGCTTCCAGTGGAGGGTTACGAGTCACGACATGTGTTTAAGGTTGTCGGCGCATAGCGGCGGCGTTTGGTCCTGGTCATCTCTGGCTCTGTGGATTTCAAGGACGGCGTAAGTTTGGGTTTTTCTTTGAACAGTTTCTGTGGGTCATCTTGTTGGGAGGCATAGTATGTACGAGGGATGCTTAATCGGGTGCATAGCTGTATCATACAGCATGTAGTATGCTTGCTGCTTCGATGTATTTATGTTTTGTTTGACTGGCATCAGCCTGTGCGATAAACCGTTATTAATTCTTTATGCACTATATTCTTCTTTATACTATGTTTTACCCCAATGCTGTAGATTGAATTCCTCTATCTGGTAGAGTCACAGTAGTTGTGTTCCCATAGGCTGGTTGCAAGACCTAAGAACAGCAATGCAATATCCTGGGGTGAAAGATGGCGGGTTCCCGGCCAAATCCATCCAATCCACTGGAACAAAAAGAAAATTTATTTCCGCTCCTGTCAACGGTCATTAATTAACAAAAAACCCCCAGCAGATCAGAGCGGACTAAAAATTATTCCTTTGAAGGCAATTTGGCTCTGTACCACTACCTCTGAATATTGATACATCCTCCAAATACGTGGCGAGCGTGAGTGCAACCGACAATGGAGTATCTCATTCGCTTCGCCCAGGCCCATGAGTCTTTTCGGCAGGCCGAGATCCAGGCACTGGCTGACCTGGCGGGCGTGAAACTCGAATTCATACATTATGATAAAAATGTAAGTAGTATAAACTCTTTTCTTCTGTTCCTCAGTCCCGATCATCTATATCATGCATTCATTGTGCGGTTTCTTGCCCCGCGTGAGGAACAGAAAATGTCACTCACCCCTCATTGGGATATCATTATCCTGTCCCCGCACCAATCAATGACTATTTACCATCTATCTGCAGTTTATACATGCCGCTAACCACCACCACCAGTCCCCATTCTGCACAATAAGACTACCCGATGAAGCGGCAGCTCGTGCAGTGATTACCCGAAGCATTATAGCCAAGGATATCTTCGAGCTCTGGGGCCAAGGCACCAACTTCGACGAAGTCTACGCCGATGTCCGCAGGCGGACGGAGGATCGCTGGGCGCAGTACAGGGACTCGTCGTTCCGATTCACCATTGACAGCTTCGCCGGAAAGCGTAGCAGTGAGAAGAAGCGCGAGATCATCCAGTCATTTTCCTTCCTGGGGTTCAAGGGCCCCATTCGCATGAAGAACCCGGACCAGGATTTCTGGGTCTTCGAGGACTACGGATTGGATCTTAACTCGCCTGGTACGCCTCGTCCTGAGGGTCAAGAGCCAAAGATCATTTACTTTGGACGTTGGATTGCGAATAGTAGCCGCGATGTCGTCAATAAATATGACCTTAAGAAGAGACGCTATATTAGCACTACCTCCATGGATGCGGAGTTGACCCTCATCACGGCTAATATGGCTCATGCTGCGCCTGGAAAGCTTTTCTATGACCCATTTGTGGGTACGGGGAGCTTCTTGGTGGCTATGTCGCACTTCGGGGCTGAGACGTTCGGATCGGATATCGATGGACGCAGTTTCCGGGGTAAAGAGATGATGGAGAGGGGTGGGACGATGGGAGTGTTGTCGAACTTCCAGCAGTATGATATGGTCGGCAAATTCATGGATGTCTTTACTTCCGACCTTACAAATACGCCTTTGCGCTCGGCTCAGTTCTTGGATGGCATCATCTGTGATCCGCCTTATGGTATCCGCGAAGGACTCAGAGTTCTTGGGAGACGTGAGGGTCTCAGGAACGAAGAGGTCATTATCGATGGAGTCCCTGCTCACTAGTATGTCTACATTGTCGCTTTTGAGTATCAGTATCTGGATTTGGATGCCGACTAACATGCGTTCAGTCGGCCCGGATATATTGCGCCTAAGAAGCCCTACGGCTTCGAAGCCATGCTCAACGATATCCTTAACTTTGCCGTCAGAAGCCTCGTTACAAATGGACGTCTGGCCATGTGGATGCCAACGGCAAATGATGAGGAGGTTGAATTGGCGGTTCCGATGCACCCCAACCTGGAAGTAGTGAACGTATCTGTTCAGCCGTTCTACACCTGTAAGTTCATCTGAAGCCTTCCCAGACAACATGTGAAATAAAGTACACGGCTAACCTGTTGACCAGGGTCTCGTCGACTTATCACCTATCGAAGACTACCAGAAGGACAGGTCTCGGATGTTTCCAAAGGCCGGCAAAAACTGGATGCTCAGGGAATGTATGCAGACGATTTGAACGAATTCAGAAGAAAGGTATGCGATGCCGATATAGTATACAGCTATACAATCCTAACTATTCTATTAGTATTTCATGAAGAACCCACCCGACAGCTCGAAATCAGAAAGAGAAAGCTCCGCCTCATGAACAGCATTAGAATATAAAATAACCAAAATTAGAATAAAAGCAATGACTCTATAACGCCCAACATGCTACAAACCAAAAACAGCCACAATTATACTTCTACAAGTACCATCAAAGCTTCCCTTTTTCCACTTTAAATCCCCAAAACTCACCTTCCAAATCCACCCCTTCGTCCCGCTTGACCCTCTCAACTTCCCTCGCCAACTCCTCCCTCAACAACCCAGCCAGACTCTCCCCCTCCTCATCATCCAAATCCTCCCTCTGCCCCCGCCCAAACATCACATAACTCAAATGAGCCTTTCCCTTCCCTTCCGCCGGCCGATCAGGCGGCCTAGGAATGATATGAAAGTGAACATGAGGGACCTGCTGCGCAGCTCTGACACCTATCCAATTCCGACTCATTAGCCACCAAATACCAAATCAAATAAGTATTCAAGAACAAATATGGACAATAAGACATGTAGATATCCAAATTCCACAAGCCATAAGATCGACAAACCAACTCGCCGCGCCGTCGAGGTTACACAAACATAGCATATGCAGATAGATAGATAGATAGAATAACAGTAAATGCTTAGCAACCGAACCTACTTACCATTATTCTGCACGACATTCCAATTCCACAACGAGTCAAAGTCCCCTTGCTCTTCCTCCTCTCCGAAGAGGGTCCGCATCACGACCCTCGAGATGATGGGGAGCCATTGGCCGATCTGTGTCATTCCATCCATCCATTCGTCAGTCCGTCAGTACTTAGATAACCCATAGTAAATACTGTAGTACGTATTCAAGACAGTGCCACAATCCAGCAAACCCAAACTAGTATAACAGAAACACAAAATAACAACCCAACTCAAATCCAAATAAGCAAAAGTAAACCACAATTCCAGAACAAACCCAAAAAAAGGAAAAGAGAAGTTAACAACGTACCTCCCTCCCCACAGCCACCCTTACATCGCCCAACCTCTCACAATGCTCCCTCGTGGCAACCAAAACATGTCCTCTCGTCAGCGGCATAATATCCAAAAACGCCAGGACATGTTTAGTGGATAAGAGGAGGTGAGCATGGCCAGGGCCGTCTGAATTGCTTGGCTCGGTAAATGAATCCGGGGGAGGAATGTCGGTAGTAGTGGTAGTGGGCGCCGCCGCGGCAGCCGATAAATTTAGATGATCATCGTGGGAGGAATTCTTCGGGCGGAGGAATGTCGTTGGTGGGAGGGGCGGGTATTTGTGAGCGATGGCGCAGAAGGGGCATGTGTGGTGATGATCTGAGGTCATGGTAGGGGTTGGTTGGCTGGCTGGGTAAAATAGATAGATAGTAGATGGATATCTGGGGTAAGGGACTGGGGGTGGATGGGATGAAGGGTTGATGATTTGCTGGGATTGATTGGTGGTAGTTGGGTAGTGACTGGGTCCGTTCCTAGGAGCAACCGGGACTAAATATGTGTCTGTGCTTTAGAGCTAGGAGAGGAGGGAATTTGATCGTCGCTGGGGGTTATCTTGAAGAGGAATTCGAGATTTGGTTGCTGTGCAGAAGGATGAGGCGATATGGGAACGGCTAGCTTGTTGATCCTCGGTGCCTCGGTTCCCAACTCCAGGTCACTGGCAGTTTGGAAACTTCCCGCGTATTAACCACATTTGCTTACTTAGAAGGCTTGTATCTAGGTGATCTGCAAGTAGCATCAAGGGGTGGTACACAAACTTCCTGGTAGTTCAAGGCTAAACTAACCATCCTTAACGCACATTACCGTAATCCTTGCCACTCTATCCGTGATATACCCCCGCTAACTCAACATGAAAGACACTAATACCAAAAACAAGCCCTTTTTCACCTTTCTCTCAACCTTGGGTCTATGCCCCGATGTGTATTGTCGTAGCTGTATGGCATTGGTTCATTCCGCACGCCTTGACCAACATAATGCGGTGGTAGATAGATCGTCACGGTCCTGCGGAAGCTGTGTAATAAGTCCGAAGAGTACCCGACGCCGATGAACAAGAACTTTGGATCCAAAAATAAAAAGAAGCGAGTAAATTTCCGTCCTTGAAAGGTCCGACGCCTGGAAGTCACACAGGGTAAGACGGGAGAAGGTTATGTAAGGTATCAAAGCAAGTGCGAAACAACCCAGACACTACCAGAAATGAAGAGAATCGAAGAACAGCAGAAAAAACAAAGCCAGATGTGCGCCAGACACCCCTGGAAGAAGCGAAGATGCAAACGTCCGCAACCGAAAACAACAAGATGCCGTTCATAAACATATGCAAGAGGTGCCTAATACCATCACGAATGAAATACCATCATATGGAATCAACAAACTCCTATCCTCGGTCGTGCTGCCTGACGCCGATATTAAGTCACCAGAGGCGGCGGGTTATTTATTCATGGTCTTTCATATAAGAGTAGGGCTCGGATAGCGAGCTGTTGATATACAGGTGGTGGTATTTCTTCGCCCATTGCCGGGTGAGGATGGATGCTAGTCACGTTAGCGGTTGGTGGTCCCATGTCAATGCTATATAGAGGCAACATACCCTTCAAGAACTTCTTGCTGGCGTACTTCTTGAAGAAAGCCTCATGAGAGACAGGGCGGTGGAGGTAATCAATCATTAAGCGGAAGACGGGGTCGATCTCTTCTTCAGTGTAACCGGCATAATGAGCCAGGGTGGCATCCTTAAGTTATCAATTAGCATAATAAGCCCGTAAGACGTGTGAAAGAAACATACCCAGACACCCCGGTCAAGGATGAGACGAGCCAGATACATGGCAGCAGCCGCCACATGACTCTGGCGGTAACCCATGAACCTGTGGTCCAAGAGGCTGATTTCCATGAGGTACTTGCCGAGAGTACGGGTTTGGATATCATAGTTGTCTGCTTTCGAAATACGACGCAGGAAGTTCATGGGGTTGGGGTAGCTCATGTTGTACTCGAGGGTAGCGAGAATGTGCCGCTCAGCGTCCAAGATCTCACGGTCGGTGAAAGTTCCGTCTGCGACATCGGTGAAGTTGGCAACGTGTGGCGAAAGAACTTCCTCATACTTGGACGCGATGAACATAGCGGCGACACCGACCAGTTGAAGACGGTCCAGAGCCACCACCTCAGCAGAGAGGAAGCGGTCAATGATGTTGACGGCAAGGAAGAGGGTCTCGGGGAGGAGGCGAAAGCGGGTGTGGACCTCGATGAGCCAGTCGACAAGGATGCCGCGCATCTTCCACTCCAGGTCAGGTTGATGATCGATGTACTCGGCGTTGGGCAAAGTCTCCAGCTCAAGGTCCTTCAGATATTCGAAGATATCGACAACGTATTCAGCAACCATCAAAGGGTCATCAAGATCTTCGGCGTCGAGGTCGTCGACGTAATCATCGACAGGCTTTTGCAGAACCTTGGGATCGACAGGAACATTGACATCCTCCTTGGCGTTGGCGAGCTTCTCGGTGAGAGTCTTCTGTTCGGTGACCTTCTTCTCGACTTCGACCTTCTTTCGGGGGCGTGGTTCCTCCTCAGCTGCCTTTTCTTGAATTGCTTTCTCGCTGGATGTCCGCTTGGTGCCCGATCCACTTCCGGGGCGCTTCGTTTCTGTGGTAGGCTTCTTTGGGTTGCTGTCCTTGGGTCCCAGGGCAGCGCGTGACGAGTTGTTGCGAGTAAGTTTCTGGACTCCACCAGCCTGCAATGTTGCTTTAGACGTCAAGCCAACCTTCGTGGCAGCTGGCTTCTTGGCATCCTTGGTCTCTCCATTCTCTGCTTTGGAAACATTGCTCACATCACCAAGGGCGGCGCGTCTCCGGGTTCCGGTGGTAGTGGTGGTGGTCGCGGCCTTCTTCGTCTGGAGCGGCTTCTTGGCGGGGGGAGCCCCAGCGTCATTGACTGACAGGGCAGCGGCCTTGGCCCGCGTCAGACGCGTCGATGGGCCATTCTCATCGTTCTCGTTCATCGTGCCTCTCGTACGAAGACTCCGAGCCTGTTGAACAGTTAGAACTATACGCGTGCAAGATGGACCTTCAAGCCCATCGAGCTCGCGACCGAGGATTGCACAACGCGTAGTGAGAGGTCAAGGACACTTACAGGTGGCATGATGGATAGGGGGAGAAGGTATAATGAATATAAGGAGGGGCAAGGAAGGGAATAAGAGTAGAGTGAAAGAGTATGGTTCTGCAGGCGGTTGGAAAGTCTAGTCAGCATTCCAGGAGAGATTACCCCGGTGGAGCTCAAATACCGGTTGCCGGAAGGTAGATTTGCACGTACCACGCGTGAATATGTGTCCAACCCCAATCAATTAGTCTGAATGCAAGGTTTCTCAAGTCGAACGGTCGGGTACTTGGAAGGAATTTGGCAGGAGTGGGCTCAGAATCGTGGCATATATGGCTTAGTTGATGCTATTGACAGGAGCTCGCAAGACCCGAGACACGTAACTTTCCACGGCGTTGACGGCCCCAAAGTATGATTTTATGGCGATATAGCAAGATGGAGTAATTGTTTATAAGTAATGACACGAGAATTTGGCGAAGAAACGGGGTCCTATTAGGGGTGGTGGTCGCCTCCCTGGAGTAGATGATGATGGAGAGGAGTAGGAAAAGGTGGTAAACTTGACAGGGCAAAGAGGATGTTTGGCCCTAGTCTTAGCGTGGAAACTGGCCAGGCTGGGAAAGATGCCCCACAGCACAATCCAGTGGGATCGCGTGGATTGCGGATTATTAACTGCTGTACAACGTCGTGTATATGCAAGCCTGGAGACAATAGTCACGGTCCCCAGTTATTATGGTATGTACGGTGAAGGTCAATTGAGAAATAGTGGTAGTTGGTAGGAGAGAAGTGGAGGGAAAGGAAGAGTGACAGACGGGAAGAGACGGCAACGAAGGGGGGGGAAAGAAGGCAATTAAGAGAAGCAAGTCTATGGTTCTGTATGGATCGATCGCATGTATGTATGTGTATGCGTATGTATGACGGACGTGACTTCCCTGACAGAAGTCGCTGTAAAAAGGGCGGAATTGGTGGTGTAAAAGGTGGCAGGCAGGGTGGTAATCATACAGTCACGGTTTACGGGAGGACTCCCTAAGGGAAACAAGGCGGATCCTCATCCATGGTCGATGCCTGAGCTGACCCAGGCAGGAAAACACCCTCGACTCTCCAAACGCCCGTCGCGAGCAAAAACGTGATGGAGCGCGGCCACGATCGCCAAAACAATTGCTGGTTGCGCGGCAACCGACCCGGAGCTTTTACGCTTTTTCGTTCCCTTCGGACGTGTTGCCGTGTCGCGCCGTCCCGTGACTCAAGGCCTGAGCCACACTTAGTCAGTCCCGGAAGCGGCGGTGCGCTTCAAGTCATGTGCTAGAGCGTCAAGCCACACCTCCCAATCCATGCCAGACATTTTTGCTCCGGAGATCGAGTAGAAGTGCGGCTATTGTCACCGGTGCCCCCAACAACACTCCAATTGAGCACGGTGTTGCTGATAGTGGTGTCAGGGACGCTGGAATTCTGATTGCCTGTTTTGTTGTCTTTAATTCTAAGCATGTTTAAGCAGTAGCTTGCTTGGAATTCCTCACACCACTTAGGGTACCACATTGCGGTATTGCTTTGACATCTCCGGTCACGACCGATTGACATCGAAATCCTTCCGACTTCTTACCTCTACCACATACATTACACTCCAATATGCTTCAGACTCGCTTGGCCCTTACGGGCCTTCGTCTGCCGTTTAGAACCTTGTCTACGGTCGTTTCGTCGCGGGCCTATTCGACTGTCGTTCGCGAGCAAGAGAATCCGTCCGCTGACGAGCCTGCAAGTTCGACCTTCGACCCCAGTATCGCCTTCGCCCCTCCACCCACTCGTGATGACGCCGGTATCCTTCTACGCTCCTACACCCCACGAACCCCCGGTATCAGACATTTGCGCAGACCGATCAATGACCACCTGTGGAAAGGACGCCCGGTGCAGAAGTTGACCTTCCCCAAACGAGGTCAAGCCAAGGGTGGTCGTAACAACTCCGGTAGAGTGACTGTCCGCCATCGCGGTGGTGGCCACAAGCGCCGTATACGAATGGTTGATTTTGCGCGTGACGCTCCCGGTCCGCACGTGGTGGAACGCATCGAACATGACCCTGGTCGGAGTGCTCACATTGCTCTTGTCCGTAGCCAGGAGACCAAGAAACTGAGTTACATCCTGGCTGCTGAGGGCATGCGGGCTGGTGACGTTGTCCACAGTTACATGTCTGGTATCCCGGAGGAACTCTGGAAGAGCATGGGAGGTACTGTAGACCCTGGTGTCCTCGCTGCCAGAACCGCGTGGAGAGGAAACTGCCTGCCGCTGCACATGATGCCTGTTGGTACTCTGGTCTTCAACGTTGGCCTACGCCCTGGTCAGGGAGGCCAGCTCTGCCGTAGTGCCGGTACTTTTGCGACAGTTATCGCCAAGGGTATCGATATTAAGGCGAAGCGTGATCATTCGGACGGCCAAGAAGGCGAGGCCGGGGCCGCTGAGCAGAAGCCTCTCACGCAACGCGAGAGGCAAAGAAAGGAGCGCATTTCTCAACACGTCACCATCCGTCTTCAGAGTGGTGAAGTTCGTCTCATCCACAAGGACTGCTGCGCGACTGTTGGCGTCGCTAGCAACCCTAACCACCAGTACCGCCAGCTTGGTAAGGCTGGTCGCTCCCGTTGGCTCAACATTCGGCCTACTGTTCGTGGTCTCGCCATGAACGCCGCCGAACATCCCCACGGTGGTGGTCGAGGCAAATCGAAGGGTAATGTTGACCCGAAGAGTCCTTGGGGTATGCCGGTATGTATTCTCGCTTCACTATTTCTCCCTTTGCTTCCGGGCCTCGTCAGTGCTAATGTCTTCTGTTCTTACAGGCGAAATCCGGTTACAAGACCCGTCCCAAGTGGAAGATCAACAAGGCTGTGGTTCATCCCAGAGAGCGCAACCAGGGCAAGCGTCGTCGTGGATACCATTAAACGCCGTCGTGGACATGAATTTCTTCTTTATTCGTTGGAACTCCTTACAGCAATCTCACGGTTATATCAAATGTGATTCTATCATCGCTCGGGGTAAAAGCTGGGTAAAGCAGAGCATGGATCTTCGGAATCTCCCCATCTGTCGAAGGTCCTTCTTGTGGGTTTAGATGGTGGGAAGTTTTTTCCTGTTCACCTTGTTGTACTATACTTTATTTTGTCTTGGCTACGATGGGGGATTCCAGCTGTCTATACTCCAGCTCCTTTGCTTTCTATCCGGATTTCCTTCATGTGTTGTTTATGCTCCGGCGTTTCTCTTGTATACTACATGGGTTAGAGTACAATCAATCCTATTACACAGTGCACATATAGTTTTTGATCAGCTCCTCTACTTAAGCTATGAGAGTATTGTATCTGGTGGATTAGACAGCGACCAGTCCTGGCATGGCATAGGGCGGCATCGGGGTGAACGAGCCGCGGGTCTAGAACTGGCTGAGACCGAGAGAATCGAGCCGAAGTCAGTGGAGTAAGATCATCGCATCGCGCTCAAGTAACTCACTACGTTCAACATCGCATTTACGTCCGCGGGAAAATCGCTGTAAGCTTTACTTTTTAATGGTCGCGAATTACGCTTTGTTAGCATGATGCCTGACTAACAAATTAGGATCCTTGGTTCCGTTACGAGTCCTGCAACGTCCTCGGCCTGACCGACATAACCTCGACCGTGCACCTATCATCTTTCCCTATGGCCTAACGGCTTTTTTTTGTTTTTTTGGCCTTCTCTTTATGCATACCGATCTTTTTCGCCCGTTCGATGCCTCCAAGTATCCATGATCGAGGTACAGCACCTCTAGCTCGGAAAAGCTGTGCCCACATTGCAGGCCATTCTCGACACACATCAGCTCCCCACCCGCATCGCGCGCCCGGCCATGGCTGATAATGCCAATCGTCTACCAGGGCAGACTCAAGCTTCTCCATCCCAGCCACAGCTGAGTGCAGCGCATGAAGAGGCAGCGTCGATTGCCGCAGAGCATCACAATCCAAACAGCCATTATATTCCCCGCCCTAAGCGTATCGCATGCGTTCTTTGCCGAAGGAGGAAATTAAGATGCGATGGAAAGAGACCTAGTTGCGGGACATGCTCTCGGTTAGGTCATGAATGCATATTCGATGAAGTGCGCAAGAAAAGCGGTCCAAAGCGGGGTTACGTGAAGCAGCTAGAAGCACGTCTGGGTATGTTCGTTGTCTGTCATTATTTGACGCTCGATTTCTGATCGGAGGCATGTGAGCGCCGATCTCACCGTCTGCTCCGCTAACACCACGCTTATTATGCAGCCCAGGTCGAAACTCTACTTAGGAATCAAGGAGCACAAGTACAGCAAAGCCAGGGCAATAGTCCTAATGCTTCGGTGACAAACCATTCGGCTGGCGCGCCCGGCATCTCTCCCCAGGATGATGTTCAAATGCAGTCTCCGGAGGGACAGGCCGATCCTATCTCTTCGACTCCCACATCATATCATGCAGGACCAACAAGCAGCGATGAATCCCAAGGTAGATTGATAAGCCTGGGGCTGGAAGAACCTCTTCCCACGCAGGAGGTTATTGATGAGCTGCAAGTTTTCCTTACACAATCGAGATCTTTATCCGCCTTCTAATGCTATACAGGACTGCGATATATTTCAAGAAGATACATCTTCGACTTCCCATGATTCACCGCCCAAGGTATTTGGCAGCTTCAAGCCTTGCTCCTGCCTCACGGCCTCCTATATGCTTACAGTACATGATTTGGTGTCATGCGGCGTCTGTCACGGACAAGTATTCCAGTCTCCACAGTATTTTCTACGAGCGGGCTCGTAAGTACGCCGAATTGGACGAGTTAGAAGGCCTTGGTCAGCGTGTGGTGTCTATCGCACATTGTCAGACCTGGGTGCTCATCGGCACATATGAGTTCAAAATGATGTTTCTTCCTCGAGCGTGGCTGAGTGTTGGAAAAGCTGCCAGACTGGCGACGATGCTAGGTCTATGTGGTATAGATGAAGATGGTCTGAACGTCAAACAGACCTTGCCACCTTCCAAGGATTGGTCTGAAAAAGAAGAGCGAAGGAGAGTATTTTGGATGGCTTTCTGTCTCGATAGATACGCAAGTGTCGGTACTGGGTGGCCTGTCTCGTTTGATGAAAGAGATGTCAGTTGCTCCAGCGTATGCTTCAATGTCCGGGAACAGCCTTATCTGACTGAGCTCGATAGATCTTCACGAACCTTCCAGCGTCTGAGGAATCATTCATCGATAACAACCCGCAACAGACTGGTCGTCTCGCAGACATACTGATAACCGGGAATATTTCCACGATGTCAACATTTGCAGGAGTCGTGATACTAGCTTGCATGTTCGGGAAGAATGTCGCACATCTGCATCGACCTGATCCCCAAGATAATGAACATGATCTCACCGGACTGTACTGGCAGCGGCACCGTGCCTTTGATAATCTCCTACTCCACTTTGCACTCTCCATGCCAAGTCATCTGCGGCTGACAGTCTTGACGACCGATCCGAACATCATATTCTGCAACATGGCTATTCACACAGCAACGATTTGTCTGCATCAAGGGGCAATATTCGTAGCGGAAAAGAATAAAATGCCAGAGCAGATCGCCACCGAGAGTAAGCGACGGTGTATACTAGCTGCCGACCAAATCTCCAACATAATGAAGATGATCAGTCATCTAGATTTGAGTGTTGTCAGTTATATTATGACTTCTAGCTCTCTGAACATGCTAACAGAAAGCAGATGGACCCATTCATGGCGTTTTGTATCTACGTGGCCGCACGGGTCTTCATCCAATACCTGAAATTTCGCCCCAGTGACTCCGCTGCACGTTCATCTCTACAATTTGCCTTTTCTGCCCTTGATGCCTTCAAAGAAAAGAATCCGCTAGCAGAACCATTCGTCATGCAACTTGAACTTGATATTGGTGGAACTGCCTTTGGAGATGTTCGCTCTTCGAAGAGCATGTGTATCGCGTCCCATATACCGCAGAATATGGTAAGCATGCTTGTTATAGCCGTGAAGACGATCTGCTGACCAGCAATCACCCTAGACTGGCGCGAAGAAGACACAAACTGCAAACCAATCAGGAGGCCAGGCCGACAATACAACCCCAGATCACCCTCAAAGGACTTCTGGATTCACGCCCACTGAATATGCAAGTCAACAGACTACCACTGAAACGCCACCAGGCCGACCAAGCACAACGAATCACAGCGGCTCCAAAACATCCAATCATGCAGCACCGACCAGAAATGGCAATAATACTAGTATTCCAAACTTGGATACGAACATGTCTTCTACATCCAACGGCAACACCAACACCAACCAGTCAACCAACGCCATACCCTCACAGCTAGCTTCCACTCTGAACAACCTCGCCTACTTGGGACCAGCGACATACCCCTCATCCGCACAAGTTCCTCTTCAGCCAGTACTATTCTCCCCCAGTGTCTTCGCTCCGTTCCAATACGAAGCCAACCCTGCCTTTCCCAACCAGTCAACTCAGCTCGATCCCACGAGATCCGAAAACCCCCTCACTACCGATCCTACATGGACTACCTCAGAGAATCCTATACCTGATCTCAGCGATGGAGACCTAGTCAATCACCCGCCTAACGGCCCCGAAGCTCTCAGCGACGCTCAATGGGCATTACTCGCATCGGGAGGATGGGAGTCGTGGCAGGGGTTGAACTTCATGCCTTGAGCTTTAATTTGAGCACGACAGAGTGTTAGATGATGTGATCTACGATATATAGACGACTAACGATTGGTGTTGGGTATGCTATAGAGTTCATTTGTCTTCGAGAAACTTGTCGAGTGTAGTAGCGTGTTTACATCTCCTGGACAGCATTCGCGAACCAAGCCAATATATCAAACCAGCACAGCAAAAGGACTCTATACAAGACATGCAATGCCATGCTTAATATCTACCGTAAACATCATAAACTCAAATAAAACATCCGACGCACCAAAACGCCACAACACACACACATACACAAAGATGCGAAAATAGATATCAACTCATCAAATCAAAATACCAACCGTCTCTACAGACTCCCACCCGCAGCCCCTACAATTCTCAATCCGCCCGGCCCCGAGCCATCCGCAGTAGTAGAATACGCAAGCCAATACCTCGAGGGATGCCACGCGACAGCCGGAATCCCCGAATTGGCATTGCCCCCCGTAGGAACGGTATGAACGCTCTCGCCCGTTTCCGCATGGAAGATCTCCAAACCATTACCGCCACAGCCTACCTCGTCACAAGCACCGCAGATGAATCTACCGTCGAAGCTCCAGCTCACGCCGCGCACGGCTCCACCATTGTTGCTCGAGACAGTGCGCTTGCAGATCCAGTCTGTTGTATCCCATAGCGAGATGAGAGCGTCGCTGCCCCCGACGGCGAGGTAGCGACCTGTGGGTGCTAGGGAGATGGAAAGGCAGGCGGAAGTGTGGGCGTAGAGGGTGTGGAGGACGTCGAAGGACGGGTAAGAGATGATTTTGACGGTGCCTTCGCCGGTTGTGGCGAAGAGGTGGAGGTCGGGGGAGGAAGGGGTGGAGACGTGGTGTGAGAAAGTTGTTGCGTTGGTTTGGATGGGTTGGGGGTGTGGTTCTAAGGCTGTGTAGGTTGATGGTGTGAAGGTGGGCTTTTGTTGCTGTTGCTGTTGCGTTGCTGCAGCATTGGGTGGCCCGTCGGGGTGGATGGTTGGGGTGGATGGGGATTCGACGGAGATGGGTATGAGGGTGTCGTCCTGCAGATATTGAGAATATGGTCAATTGATGAGTTCCTGATGCCGGGCGTATCGGCTTTGTGCTCGTGGGTGTTAGCTCACCTTCCTGCCAACAATCATTACCCTTCCATCAGCAGACCAGGATAGTGTGAATGCCTCGCCTCCGACGTCCAAACGACTGACGCAGGTCTTTGATCGGACGTCCCAAACGCGAACGGTTCCATCTGTAGAGCAGCTAGCCAGCTCGGAGTCACGAACAGGGTTGAACACGACTTTCTCAATTCCAGCAGTATGCCCGCGCAGTTCGGTGGAGTATTTCACTTGCGAGCGCTCAGGGTTCCAGATTCGAAGGGTACGGTCTGCGGAGCCGGTGGCAATAAGCTGGCCGGTAGGGTTCCATGCTATTGTGCGAATTCTAGATTGCTCATCGCCCTCCATCAGTATGCGTTCTGCTTTCTCTTTCATGAGAGTAATTTGTCGGATGGGCATTTACGTATGAGAACCAGGTCCACGAGCAGCGGGATCATGGTAGTTTTGTGTTTTTAGACCACCAAACGCAAGACCAAATCGGTCTTTTGGGAGGAGGTTCCGTCGAGGAGGCGCCATTGTCAAGGTAGTACTTGTGTAATTGTTGCTGCTGCTGGCGGGTTCGCGATTGCGGCAGCAGCAGCCTGGACTGTTGCCCCGCGGGGCTGTGAATGGCGGAGTGCGGAGAGAATTCTTTGCCACTAGAATGGCAAATTGGTCTTCAGTAACGAAAGTATTTTCTAAGAACAATTGCGAAATGACGTTGTCGAATTGCGGGGAGATTTGGAAGAGCTCCTGCGCGCGATGTTCGATCGATGCCCGCAAAGACCGTGAGGCGCGTTCGGTGATTGGCTGGAGCTCGGCGATAGAAGATCAGAATTGAGATGACATAATGCTGGCACTCGCCAGTTGGCCAGGCGCTTGATCACTACTACAGGTCTAATAGTTAAAAATTATCGGTCTTTATGAGACTCATGAAAAGCCTTGTTCTTGAGTTATAGTTCGGTAAATTGTCCAATTCATACGATGACAGTATTTCTTGGTAGGATTGCCCCGAACGTGCAATCAGTACATGGTCAGGTGACCTAGCGGAACATTCCAAGCAGCAATTATCTTGCATATCAGCCAGTAGTATACGACGGGACTATACAGAAGCTTATTGCATCTGTGTGCTTGAATTCATCAGATATTCCTGGTTGATGCATCACGCCTTCTATTAGCCCTCTAGTGCGAATCGAGCAGATATTGTATAGGGCGAAAATTCTCCCCGGGCTCAACCACAGATTTCATCTATCGGTATTTAAAACTTGAGCCAGACAGCCGGCGATCTACTCGACGAAAAGCCCAGAAGCTTTACTGTAATCTTCTTTGAGCCATGCTAGACTTTGAAGATGACGCGTCTAAGCGCGAAAAATGCTACACCACCATAGGCCAACTGCCTGCTTTTATCGATCCCAAGCAGCCACCCACGAAACGGTCCCCATTCTCAGCCATCCTTGGCCATCCATTCGTTCATACGGTAAGACTCCCTGTGTCCTAGATATGATCCCTGGGCTTTTATGCTGTGTGTTTGTACTGTGACAGTTCATCATAGGCACGTTGGCACAATATCAGAGAAACGCTAACTAGTCGATGTGCAGATTGAAGTCATTCTGCCCAAGGATATCTTGTCATATGTGCAACCGCAACTGCAAAATTTACGATATGCGAGAGTGTTCATGTCGCTATCTTCTTTGCTCGAGGGTGAATTTTTCAATACTTATATCAAGACCGGTAATTATTGCTTTTTTTCGCCTCTCGTCGCCTCGCTGGGGCACTAAGACCGAATTAGTAGCTAACCTACATGGTACAGGGAATATCCTCATGATATCTGAGGGACGCTCAGGCTCAGACAGTGTCTTCACACTCAAAGATGGTCTATAGTCTCCGGCCATGTATCTTCTTAGCCTATTCAGCTAACAGGCCCCCTAGGCATTTTAAAATTGGAGTTGAGCAAAGAGATCTTCGAAAGAACAGGGCTTACAGGGAAGCCTGTTCGCAGCGGAGGAAGAAAGCATGCAAAAGAGAGGTTCAGTATGTGCTCTTATACCATGTCCCCCAACCTGAGGAGAAATGCTAACAACAAGCCCTGATAAACAGTCGTGGAAATCAACCTTCGGCTTCCGTCCATGCTCCATGGCAAGAAGGGCTTCGAGAGGATCGTATGGGCTTTCAAGAATGTCTTGAACCAATCAGTAGCCTGGCTATTCTTCGATCTCACTTCTAGTCCGGGTGGCGTTTCCGAAGGTACTTTACTCCATTTAGCACCCTTCTGCAAACTATCTCCCAGAGCTATACACTAAAACACAAGCAGATGACCCCTCCCTAAAGGGAAACCAGCCCCAAATCATTGATTGCCAGCCTATTATCACCGAGCACTCCAATATCCTTGTCCCCCCTCTCCCTGGACCAGAAATCACAGACGAGTCCCGCGAAGCAGCAGAACTAGAAGACCACTGCAACGAGCTCTCCGAGTGGCTTGCAATGGTATCCCTCGAATCGCCTCGCGTATCCGTCCATGACGATGTGGATCCCTATCTTTGTCGTTACAGTGTACCCGATTCGGATAATGCAAAGTCCACCAATCTTGTCAGCCTGAAGTGGCATGGACTTGTCCCGTCTCGTTGGATTATCGAATTATTGGTCGCGATATTGTATGTTCCACATGACTTGCTATGAAATTTTTTTGCTATTGGATGACTTGCTAACTTGGCTACCTTGTGCATTTATTAGGAAGGAAACTGCACCCAAGTCTATTGCCCCGTACGCTTGGTTCGCGCTTTCTGCGAGTGCGCTGGGAAGAGAAGCCGTGGAGGCACGCGATGGGTACACGGTTATGGTGCTTCCGACACATGTGCCAAAGCAAGATGAATTTGGAGTGCAGGCAGATGGTTCGTCTAAGGGTAATGGTCGGCACTTTATATGTTGGGAGTACGTCGGTGCTTCGATTCTTTGAACCGTTCTTTACTAGTATACCGTTGTTCAGTGGGCTCAGGAGTTACTATTCTTCGATACTATACCCCAAATCTAAAAAGCACTTACTACATTCTTGGTACCAAACACGTACGCAGGCTTATATAGTCCAAATTATAATATTCTTCTGCCCTATTGAAGTAGTCCTGCATGTCCATTGGTATCCAATATAATATTCCCTAGTGTTTTCCATTTGACCATCCATCCCAAAGCCGATACCCAATACACGCCAAACGATATTACACATCTCTTTAAACAAAAATGAAGTAGCGACCAAGACATAGAACACAGTTATCCGATAAGATCATTGACCATGTCCTGCAGAACAGGTCGATTTCCAAGTACTCTACCGCCGCTCATCAACTTAGCGCCCCTTTTAGCAGGTTTCTTCAGGCCAGTCGGCGATAGTCGAGTCTGCACAGGACCGAAAGGACTGCGAGTCGTCTTCTTGGATGACACGGGGCTCTTGCTCTTCTTTGGACTAGGTGTAGATTTGTCCGGACAGGATTGCGATGGTACCATTTCGGATTCGAAAATATGATCCGTCATGGCATCTCTAGGCAAGTCATAAATCCATCCTCGCTCTTGGACTAGTTTCACGTATTTTCCTAGGAGCTCGTTTCCATCGCGTAGAGTACTCTTACTTCCGACAACGAGAAGCTTGGTCCGTGCTCTGGTGAATGCGACATTGACGCGTCTCCAGTCACGGAGGAGGTCACCAACGTTCTTGTCAGCGTTGCTCCGCACGCAACTAAGGATAATAACCTCCTTGTCTCGGCCCTGGAACTTGTCTGCTGTGTGCATCTCAAGATCCGGTAGGTAACGGCTGAGGTTTTGTTTTAAGAGCGAGAGTTGGCTTCGGTAGAGCGCTATGACACCTATGCTGCGTGCCGGAATGCCGCTGGAAATGAATGCTTCAACGAGTCGGCTGCAAATGGTTGCTTCAGTAGGGTTCACAATCCGTGAACCGTTTGCTACATCCAATGCAGGTATGGAAAGCGTATCCGTGTTAACAAGTCGGGTTTTGGCAGACGGTTCGACCAGATCTTTGAGCCAGCAACGACCCTGGCTTGTACCCAAGCAAACCTGTCGCTGACTATGTGGTTGGGGGAAGGTGCTGGGATGATGTTGCTTGAGACCGCCAATATTGGGGATATTGAGCGAACGCACTGCAACATCTGCAGTCCCACATTTGAGACGACCAGAATAGATGAGAGTATTAGATAGAAGCATAATGTCCTCACACATTCGATACTGGTGTTCCAGATTGACAACAGATTCGGGGTGTGAGTCAGATAGCAATTTGAAAAGACTGACATCCAAGCCACCTTCTTGGGCCTCCTTGTTCTGCACCAGCGGAGGCAGTTGATAGTGGTCACCAACAAGGATAAATGTCCTAGCCATTCGAATAGGCCCTAGACATACGGGAAGCGTGATTTGGGAAGCCTCATCAACAATACAATAGTCGAACATGCGTTGGGAAAAGATACCATGGCTGACCCCGAGGCAGGTAGTCGCCACCACTTGCGAATCTTCGTAGGAGGCTTTCAGCTCTTCCATTGTGGTTTTAGGCACCGCTGCCAAGTCTGCAAACTGCTGAACATCAGGATGTACTTTTGCAGGAGCCCCAATTCGCAAGATACGGAAGTTGTCATCCTTGATTTTCAGTAGGATGTTATCAACCGCTGTGTGGGTGTATGAAGTCAACAGGACGCTCTTTCCTTGTGCCACCAAGGCACGAATGATATGAGCAATGGTTGTTGTCTTGCCAGTACCAGGCATTCCAAGGACCAAGGCATAATCTTCAGCTCTCATGACCTTGTCAATAGCTTGTCTCTGATCGACGTTCAAGGCTGCCTTGTCGGATTCAGACAAGGTATATGCAGATGCTGTGGTCTTAAAAGCGGGTGCCTCCTGCTTAACAATCAGCCTCCTCAGCTGTCTAGCCTGAAATAAATCCCGTTCCATCATGGAAACCAGGTTCGTTCGGACAATTGCCATGCCGTTGCTGAATTCGTCCTTGTCTAAACGGTAGACCGGCTCTTCATCCGACTCAGCCGGTGACGGGGAGGCACCGTCCTCGAGTATTTCCATTATACCCTTGAATGACTGGTTACGCTCGGCATCAAAACCTCTAGCTCTCGTTCTGGCGTTATGTAGCCGCCTGTCTACCGCGACGGTGATGTGTCTTCGGCTGACTTGCACGACGTATCCATTTGCAAGAGCAAAGTGGCCCTTCTCATCAGAAACCACGATAGGTTCTCCAAGTGTGAGTTGGGATTCGGTAAAAGAAAATGATGAGTGGGGTTGCTTTTTGACGAAGGTATAGCGATAGCGATTAATCTTGGGTCCATCTTTATCCTCGTAGGAGGAACTAGGGTCGATGACGACATTGCTAAAGCATCGGCCCAAAGCCTCGCGCTCGCTACTAAGCATGGTCCAAAGCTCGCGTTTAAATCGGATCATGTTCTTCTCCTCTTTGGTCAACAAATCATCCCATTTTCGAAAGAAGTCGCGATCATCAGAAGTCAGGTGATCCATAGCGTTGACAAAGTCATCACCAAGACCGCTAGTTTCACCGTCACCATCATCTGCAAGCTTATGGTAGATAAAACAAGGTGTCTTTGAGTAGCACTTGTTGCAAAATGAGGACTTTTTGGCCATCGGCGGCAGGTGCGTTCTCTGGCGCATATATCCGACTATGCGATTCCGCTGCTGGATCATCTGTAGGAGCTCATGCCGGATACCACGAATGCGGAATATCTTCGTTGTTTCGAGGTAATATAACAATCCAAACGTACACTCCACATCTACAGGAACGCATCAGTTTCTATCAATAAGGGAACTGAACACCTGTGGGGTTTTCTTACCGTAGCGATCAGAAAGCAGCAAAGTATACAGGGCCGTCTGTGCCCTGTGGGCCTGATTTGTATCCCTATTGCCTGTTTTGAGCTCAAGTGGTATGACCAGGTTTTTATCGCTTTCGCCGTCATGACAAGCGACTTGCACAGTGGCATCAACGTTTCCTTTGAGTCCGTACATTGGAGACCAAATATGCTCCTCGACTTCAAGAAGCTTATTGATACTCAAACTCATCTTGGAGCTGCCACGATCCTCAACCAATGATTCTGCCTTTAATTCAGTTAGTAACACTACCACGAATTGAGGCCGGGTAACTTACACTTGGCTTTACCCTGAGGAACCGCTCTGCCCAGGCTTGCACGCCCGGTATTCGACTCATGATATATTCAACAGCCTCCGGAATAGTCATGCGGATCAAGTATAGATCCTCGATGCGCTTGACAGTAACGCCTTCAATCAGAGTCCTTAGCGAGTTCGTATCCCATTTGTTGAGCTTGATTGCTTCTTGAAACACCTCATGAAAAATGTTCCCAAAGACTTGCGCTTTTCCTAGATCGGACGTGTATTTGATACGATCCTGCAAGACGGCGCGGCGCTGGCAACTAATTGAGTCCGCTACGACAGTTGCAGAGACCAGGTGGTCCGGATGGAGTATGACCATGTTCCTAGAATCATCCACAATGCAATGTCCTGTGGCATCGAAATCTCCGATTAAGTGAATGTATGACTCCTTGACACATGGGCACTCGCACCAGGACTCTCGAAGGATGACGACTTTCTTTTCCTTCGTCCTCTCATCTTGTACAGAAAGCACCTATTTCTTGCTGTCAGTGGCAATGCAAAGCTGTTATTTTCGATGGTGTCTGACCTGTTCTGGCTGAACGCGCCCTTTGAGGGTTTTATACGCAGACTCGGCAATATCAACAATCAGGTAACGCTTGATGGCTTGTCGGCTTCTAATGTTCTATATATGGGGCTTAGTAAGTATGTAACACATGAACCCACTAAGAATGACAAACATCGTTTGATGCATCTGCTCCTGAATGCACCATGGATTGTTCGATGGCCTCTATATCCAAGCCATCATCGTCAAATTCATCACCAAAAGATGCATCCTGTTCTCCTTTCTTCTGAATGGGCACTTCGGACATCGCGCTAGGATAATAGCCAGATTTTGCTCCGGAAATTGGTTGTCTAGAGGCTGCTGGCCCCGTAGAAACAGGCTTTGCCATATCCGTGCTCTGCGACTTCTCACATTGAGCGAGAAGATCCTCCATACCGTCCGATAAACCATCAAAATCATCGTCAAATTCATCAGCATCAAGGGTATCAACATCATTAGTCGGTTTATCCACATTAGTTTTCATAGTCACTGCATCAGTCTCTCTCCATTCTTTAGTTGAGGCGCAGGCCTCTGTCGAAGCCTCATTTTTCGCAAGTCCATCACTCAGAGCTTTGTCTTTGTGGTGAGAGGAACCGGCATCCACAAATGGATCCATTGAGGCTTCGGCGAGATCGAAGAAGTCCTGGTCAAATTCATCGTCCCCGTAATCCGATGAGGACTCTTCCAACGGTTTCCTGTCTTCAGGGGCAGCATGAATGATTCTGGGCTCTTGCACTTGGCTGGTTTTCTTCGAGGCTTGAGCTTGGCTCTTTCTATCCTCTGTCGGGGATTTTGACCTACGCCGGCCTTGGTTGCGTGCTGGTATAGGAGACGAGTCAGTTGTGTCCGGTAACGGCACAGGTGCCTTTTTCAACGTCTTCTCGATTTCCTCCACGAGAGAACTGATCTTGGGGCCTTGATAGTTTCCCGAGTTGACAACATTGCTCCTTGTCCTTGAGAATAAGCTTCGTCCCGTACCAAAGTTTTCCTTGTCGATCCTTCTTCGCTTGGCTTTTGAACTGGGCCATTCTGCCATACAGCTATTTGATCGTCTAAGACCTGAAGAGTCTCGGCTGGTGCGCACTGACGCTGGCGTTTGCGGGGAAGAAGAGAGGAGATTTGTGAAGCGCGGTCGAAGAATCTCGCCATTGCCGTTGGCAAGGGTCTTGCTCACATAGCTGTTCCACAGGTCGGCGGCGAGGTCATGCTGCGGAGTCTTCTGGAGTGTCTGAGAATTCTGCAAGTCAAGAGATCCTTTACGCCTGCTCTTCGAAGTCCCCGCCAGGGGAGAGCTAGTCGGGGATGAGCTATGGCGGCGCTTTTTACCATGTGCTGCAGGCGTCTGGGACATTCTATCAGGATTTGAGCTTGCGGGCACATGTTGCCAAACAACATAATCTTCTGGGGTAAATTCCGGCATAGGAGCATGGATGAATGCATCCTCTGCATTGTTGATAAGGTCCGCTAGGGGGATCCTATTTCCTGGAGTGTGAGGGCATTCTCTCGGTGCCTTTGGTTCTGCTGCCTCCGCTGTTTGATTTTGATTATTCTCATTCGATTTCTCGGATTCCATCACTCCATTCAACCAAGACGTCTGGTTCTCCTTGTTCGCATGGCCAGGTGCTAAGCTAGTCTTCTGAGGGGGCTTGTCAGAAGTTGGTCCATTTTGTTGGTTGTACCGAAAAGCATTCAATTTCGACCGTGATTGCGAAGATACCCTGTACGAGCCGTTGCCTGTGTTCATCGTGTTTATAGTTGGCGTTCTTCGGGAGCTGGGGGTCAATGGGGCATCTCGAGAAGAAAGGCCTAGGCGGTTAGCAAGAGTACTATGTCATGTGGATCCTCAATCATTCGAATGATCCCGCGAACAATAGATAGTTACCTTTATTTTATCGACTGACATCAGAATTCCATGCCAGGCGAGTCATAAGTGACAGGTTCAGGACAGAGTGCTAATGCAGATCAGAGTTGGTTCGATGCACGCAATAGTAGCAATGCCGATGCGCGATATGCGATAAGCCGTTCTAATTGGTCTCGAACGCGTCGCGCGTCGAGTGCTCCTGCCTCAGGCATATACTAATTAATGCCTGTGACATCAGGCCGAAAGGCGGCAGGGAAATTTGCCTGTTCGGGCCTAGCGGCAGAATCCCAGCAGTCATCGGCCTTTTGCGGCTTCTGAACATCAACCGCTTGACCGTCACATCACCCCTCCACCTGCCGCTCCTGCCGCTCCAACGAAAGCAGTGATATTTGAAATCACTCAATTGGGTCGACTATTGTCGTCGCTGGTCGAACGGATTCCTAATTACGGCATACCAATCCAGCGGTCGTTGCCTCGCCATACCCGACAGGGATCCTCACCCGCCACCGCCTGTCCCTTATCATCCACGTTGAAAACTAGGGGTTTCTGAATTGCAACAGACCCTCCGCACATTCACAATGTCCGCTCGTCCGTTGTCGCATTGCCTCCGCGCTCGCTGTGTCCCCCGCCGGGCCCAGAACATCCAGGGCTTCTCGACCCGCAGCAACCTCCGCGGTGACCACTATGACCCTCCTACCGGCTACCTGTTTGGCCTCAAGCCCGGCCAGAAGTACGTGAAGGAGGGCTGGGAGAACATGTGGTACTATGGATTCATCGGCAGTCTTCTCGTTGCCGGTGTCGCATACGTCTTCAAGCCAGACACTTCGTATGTTCAATCCCTCTCCCTCGTGTGACAGCTGAAGTGGATTGTCTTAAGATCTTTCTGCGCGTCACGACAATGCCTTTCACTGTATTAGCAGAGTCGAGGATTAGATGCTGACATGACGACAGGATACAAACATGGGCTCTGGAAGAGGCTCGCCGGCGGCTGGAGGCCGAAGGCATTCTGGAGGACCCTGACAAGGTCCAGCGCAAGTAAGGTGCTTTGGTCCGGAAATATCTTGTACTTTGTACATAGAGCGGTCGGGCGTGGAAAACAATCTTCGTTCGAGTGGTGTCAATAGGCACATTACGTCCGACCCTAGACAGGGCTTTTCTATTTCATTTCACTGTTCGCCTCCAATTTCCTGCGTGTATCTGTCATTCTATATCCTGAATTTCTTCGTTGACATGCTTGCAATGTTTCAAAAACGGGAGAAATAGATGTCTGTACCTTATACATGGGTTGTATGATGTGTATCTCGGTTTTCGGCTACGTTCACACTGGATAGCAACCTATCATTTGGTGTTATACAACAAGGAAACGGTATTGATAGTATGTATGGTGTAATAGTTACAGATATCGTATGTACTGAGTCGAATGCCATGATCATCTATACTTCTGGGTATATATCCGTTCTTCTGAGTAGCGGCATCTCTCTCCTGACTTTGGCAAGGAGATCTAGATCAATGTCCGCAACCGCGATCTGCGGCTCCTGGTATTCATCGCCAAGCTTGGCAACAACTTCGCCCCATGGGTTGACGATCATGGAATGTCCGTAGCTTCTCCTCTTTTCATTGTGAGGCCCGGCCTGAGCTGCGGCAATCACATAGGACTGTGTTTCTATAGCTCTGGCGCGTAAAAGGGTCTCCCAATGCGCTGTCCCGGTAGGAACCGTAAAAGCTGATGGATATGTGATGATTTGAGCGTTCTGTCTTCTGAGAGCCAGACTAATCTCAGGAAAGCGCAGCTGTGTAAGGTTAAACGTGAGCAAGACGCCCTGCAATATAAGTTGGCTGCTTGCGGCTTACATCAAAACAAATAGACAAGCCTACTCGCCCAACGGGCGTCTCGAAAGGCGGTAGTATCTCCATCCCCTTCTCGACGCTCCTTCATTTGACATTAGCCAAGTTCGATCAAACCACATCCACTTATTAGAACTCACGCGCTTTCCTTCAATACTGGTCCACCCTTGATGTCCACGTCGAATAGGTGGACCTTCTGGTAGCGTTGTGTGATGTCGCCCTTTTCATTGATCCAAACGAGGGTGTTCTTGATCCTACCGTTCGACGCCGGTTCGTGTATCCCTACATTGATGTGCAGATTGGCTAATTGTGCCTCTTTTTGGAGACCCAGTACAAATTCACTGTCTTGTACAGAGCGTGCCAGTGAGATGGTCTCTGCAGGCGATGATGCGATATAGTCCGCAGCCTCGGGAAGAAACAATGCCTGTTGATTTGTTAAATGGATGCTGATACTTATGATAATCAAGCGTGAATGACTTGTGGGCCAACAAGTACTATGGGAACAACTTACCTTAGCTCCAGCTGCAGCTGCCTTGCGTACCAGCGTCTTGCATTGCGTCAAGTTGGCCGCTAGACTTCCAGTCGAACATAGTTGCCCCACGGCCTGTGATGAGAGAAATATATCATATCAGTGAGAACTCCGCAAACATAATGAAAAGCCATCTACTGAGGCATTAAGCGCTTACTGCGAGAACCATATTTATGAACTACTAGCCGGTTAGATTCTGTAAATAAAAGAGTAGAAAGTCTACGGAGGACCCAGAGGTTGATGGCGGAACATAGCATGCTTATCAAGAGAGAGCCCATGGCGATGCCCGTCGGCACTCGGCAGACTTTCCCGATCCGGTCCAACGTCTGGATCCCGCTTCAGCAGGCGGATCCAGATCTGAGCAAACGTCACGGAGTGCATCAACGGCCTGAAAAAACAATTTGGGTCGCAGAATACAACGACCTGCCAAGGGTGTGGTCACTATACAGTCAAAATGAAAAGTTTACGGCGTGACTTCTCGTCGAATCCGCAGGCAGCAAATGTCACCAGCAAAGTCTTCGTGAGATCCACGAAAAGCGGAAAAGTTCAAAAGATTGTTCGCGAACTTTACCTCAGACAAGACATTCCTTGCTCGTCAAAGCTTTGCTCGACATGCGCCTCTACTGCGCCAGCGGATGCTAATGGAAATAGTGAGACAAGCAGATCGAACTTTTGCTTAAATTGATGGCTAATGCGACACAGTCACGCCTTTCGTGCTCTCGGAGCAGCCCGCGGGCACCAGCGCTTTCCCCCGCGGCCACTACCTTGTCCCCGATACGAATGCGTTGCTGAATGGCATGGATCTTTTCGAACATACCGGAGCCTTCTACGATGTTATCATCCTCCAAACCGTCCTCGAAGAATTGAAGAACCAGTCCCTACCCCTCTACAACCGCCTGCTCTCTCTGATCAAGACCGACGAAAAGCGGTTCTATCTCTTCTTCAATGAGTTCCGACTGGAGACCCACGTCCGGCGAGGACCCGATGAGTCGATAAATGACAGAAATGACCGAGCTGTGCGAACAGTGGCCAAGTGGTATGCGGAACATCTCAAGACCACGGTGAAGAAGGGGAAGAAGAACGACATCCCGGCTATCGTTGTCATCACGGACGACAAGGAAAACTTGCGCAAAGCAAAGGAGGAAGACGTGACCGCATTGTCACTGTCAGACTATGTGTCCGGCCTAGAAGACTCTGATAGACTACTTGATATGATCAACGAGTCTCGGGAGGCAAGGGAAGCGAAGGGCGCACGCGGCGAACTTTTCTACCCCGAATACTACTCGATGTCCAAGCTTATGACAGGCATTAGAGCTGGAACTTTGCACCAGGGTGTCTTCAATGTTTCGCCTTACAACTATTTGGAGGGCTCTGTCAATGTTCCGGCGTTCGACAAGCCCTTGCTCATTCTGGGTCGTGATAACAGTAACAGAGCCATCTCTGGAGATGTGGTTGTTATTGAAGTACTTCCCAAGGACCAATGGAAGTCGCCATCTACCAAGATCGTCGATGAAGAGGCGGTCACCAAGAACGACAACCCTGATACCGATGATACCGAGGCAGTGGTGTCGGAGAGGGAACGGAAGGCCTTGCAAGAAGAGGTCAGGAAAGCTCATGGGAAAAGCTCGGAGGGAAAGCCGCAACCGACAGCCAAGGTGGTTGGAGTCATGAAACGCAACTGGCGCCAATATGTCGGACATGTCGATGCCGGTTCGGCAGGTGCTCAGGCTAGCAGCGGTCGCCGCCAGCAGACCGTCTTCGTCCTCCCTATGGACAAGCGTGTACCGAAGATCCGAGTCCGTACTAGACAAGCTGGTGATCTTATGGGCCAACGTATTCTTGTCACCATCGACGCCTGGGATCGCGATTCCCGATACCCCACCGGTCATTTCATTCGCTCACTAGGAGAACTGGAGACTAAGGGTGCGGAGACAGAGGCTCTGCTCCTTGAGTATGACGTTCAGTACAAGCCATTCCCGAAGGCTGTTCTCGACTGTCTTCCCGCCGAGGGTCATGACTGGCGGGTACCGGCTAGCAAGGATAATATTGGCTGGAAGGGACGGAGGGATCTGAGAGATCTCCTCATCTGCAGTATCGACCCCCCAGGCTGCCAAGATATTGATGACGCGCTTCATGCACGGCCATTACCGAACGGCAACTTCGAAGTCGGTGTCCACATTGCAGATGTGTCTCACTTCGTCAAGCCGAACAATGCAATGGACCTGGAGGCCAGTCTCCGTGGAACAACAGTCTACCTAGTCGACAAGCGTATCGATATGCTGCCCCATCTTCTCGGTACAGACCTTTGTTCCCTCAAGCCCTACGTCGAGCGGTACGCTTTCTCTGTCCTGTGGGAGATGACACCCAACGCAGAAGTGGTATCTGCAGACTTCACCAAATCGGTCATTCGCTCTCGTGAAGCCTTCAGTTACGAGAAGGCCCAGAAGCGCATTGATGATCCTACGCAGAAAGACGAACTTACCGAAAGCATGCGCACTCTGCTCCGCTTCTCCAAGATCCTCCGACAGAAGCGCATGGATGCGGGTGCTTTGAACCTCGCCTCGCCCGAAGTCCGCATCGAAACCGACAACGACGAGGTGGGCGATCCTCTCACGGACGTTAAGACGAAGGCCATGCTCGAGACCAACAGTCTCGTTGAGGAATTCATGCTTCACGCCAACATTACAGTTGCTTCCAAGATCTACAGCACCTTCTCTCAGACCGCCATGCTCCGACGCCACGCCACCCCTCCCCCTCAAAACTTCGAAGAGCTCATCAACCAACTCACCAAGAAGCGCGACATGAGATTGGACGTGTCCAGCTCTCGTGCCCTCGCCGACTCCCTTGACCGTTGTGTTGACGAGAAGAACCCTTTCTTCAACACCTTGGTCCGCATTCTCGCCACCCGTTGCATGACATCCGCAGAGTACTTCTGCGCAGGCGCCCACGCAGAGTCCGAATTCCGTCACTACGGTCTAGCCTCACCCATCTACACACACTTCACCTCCCCCATCAGACGTTACGCAGATCTCTTAGTCCACCGCCAACTCGCGTCAGCAATTGGCTACGAGGGCGAAGATGGCCGCGCCGTCGTAGAGGGAGTGATGACCCGGAACAGACTCGAAGATATCTGCCGGAACATTAACTACCGTCATCGCAACGCCCAGTTCGCCGGCCGCGCCAGCATCGAATACTACGTTGGACAGGCGCTCAAGGCACGCGGAGAGAAGATGGCAGCCGATGGCGTGGACGGCGGCATTGAAGAGGAGGGCTACGTCATGCGTGTCTTCGAGAACGGCGTTGTTGTATTCGTTCCGCGGTTCGGTATCGAGGGCGTGGTTCGCTTGGAGGATTTCGTCCTTCCGGATGACGCTGCTCTCCGCACCGTCGACGAGCGACGGGAGCTGGTGACGCGCCGACAGAGCGACTTCGACAATGAAGAGTACACTCTTCGCGTTTCCAACAAAGGAAACTCCGAGTCAGGGCCCAGCATGTCTGTGGAACTGTTCCAGAAGGTCAATGTCAACGTTAGCTCTGTCAAGGAAGAAGGTGGTCGCGGCGCAGGAAAGAGGCGGGTTAGAATCCTGATTCTGGGAAGCGATGCCTAGACTGGAGAGAAAAGTTACTAAAATAATGACATGACTACAATCATTCTGGTTTGCAAAATTCACTATGACTAGAAGGCGTCTATCGGTGCTTTATGTAGATTCATTGTATATATGTATGTATGCCTCTTATGTACTTCTATGCTAGTCTAGAATGGTAATCTAGACATCCTATGCTATCTAGTCTAGTCTCTTGTAGTGTCTTCTTCCTTCTCGTCTAGACTGATCAGACTCTCCTCAAGGCCACCATCTGACGCAGCAAATGAAAAGGCGCCCAGAGTTGAGTCTCTTTCACTCCTGATGCGGGTATTCCAGGCGAAGGATCATATTCCTCTCCCTTCTGTGCAGTATCCTCCTTATCCTTCTTCTCTATACTACCGGGAACCATCACACCAGGAGACGCACCCTCCTTCTTTTCAGACCGCACAAGCTCTCCTATTTTCCATCCTCGCACGAGCCACAAACACGCCGCACCACCAATGTACATGAACCCCGTGAAGATCTGCACTCTCAGATACACCGAGTCCGTGGATCCATTATCCCTCAGAACAAGCGCAATAGCCTCCGACACAGTTGTGGGGGGTACCAAAACCAGCCACGCAATGCTCAACCCGCTAGGGAGGTCCCGCAGACCGATAATCTCCGCCAGCACAGGGGTGACGGTGGCCCAGTAGGTTCCTGCAACAGTGCCGACGAGGACAGCGAAAAAGCAGACCACGCCCATACTGCGAGCGAAGATCCAGATCACCAGACAGAACAAACCACAGAGGAATGTTAGGAACGTGGCTATGTTAATCCGACCTAGCTTATCACTGAACATGCCCACGATGGGTCGTCCGAGGCCCTGGCCGAGGTTAAGTAAGGCGCTGACGATACTGCCCTGGTGGGAGGAGAGACCGACGGAGAGGGCGAAATTGGCGAGGCTGAAAAGCACGGCAACGTAGCCTAGCATGCTGAGGATGCCCCATCCTAGGAAGAGGAGGAATTCGGGACGCTTGAGTAGAGGTAGGGAGAAGGCGTGGTGGCGGCTTCCAATGTCTTTGTTTCGGTCTCTGAGGAGGTTGGCGCATACTAGGTTGACGACGCAGGCGATGATTCCTAGGATTCGGAATGCCCAGCTTAGGCCGAGTCGGGGGATCATGGCGCCAACGGCTAGGGAGTAGATTAGTCCCCCTATGCCCGAGCCGGCTGCATTGATGCCCATTGCTAGACTGCGACGGCGGTGAAACCATTGAGGGGTTATGCCTACGCTTCCGACGAAGAGGAAGCCCATTCCCCAGCCGAAGCAGACGCCTTGGCTAAGGAAGATGTGCCATAGTTCGGTAGCGAAGGATGAGCCGATTAGGGAGAGGGTTTCGAAGAAGACTCCGAGGTTTAGAACTAGGCGGGTTCCGCAGATGTGGATGAGGTGTGTGGCTAGAGGAGCTACTAGTAGGGCACAGGAGATGCTCAAACCGCCGGTGAAAGCGTAGGCCAGGGCAGAACCGTTGGCAAAGACATTGTGCGAGAGGTAGTAGGAGAGAAAGACGCCGTAGCTCTAGATCTCGGGACAAGTGCGTGTGTGTGTTAGTTTCTGATTCGGAGCAAATGATTTAGAATAACCAACACTGTTGATTCCCCACGTGTGCGCATTGATCCAGAAGACGCAAGCGACACAAACCCAGCCATAGCCACCGTCTGGTACGACGTCTTGTTCATATTTGGTCTCTGCATCTTTGGGAGCCGAATCCTGTTGTTGTTGCTCCTGTACTTGCGACAGGGGATCTAGATTTGGAGTCTCATCGTAATCTCGAGAATGGATGATGTCGATTGGCGTATTATCTCCCATTTCGAGATAACTAAAAATCAAGATAGGTCAGGAGAATATAGCACGCTGCTCTAGACCACGGCTGTTAACTTCCAGATACGGCATCGAGGACGCTATCGAACATTCACGGAAGCCTCCAGCAGTAGCCAAGAAAGTTAAGTGGTAGAGCGAAACAGAAGTTGTGCGGGGATAGAGATCGAAGAACCGCATGGCGCCGGTTTTATGGCAAGGGTCCAGGAAAACCGAAGGCCTAAAAAGCGCCGATGTGTCATAGAGAGCCTGAAAAGAAACAAGATCCTCGGTCATACGAACCAGTTAGTGAGCCCTCGGCCATACTAAGCGGTTCGGTGACTAGTCCGAGAAAGTCAGTCTGTGACTGGTTTGTTGATTGGGTTTAATTCCATCCAGGATTGAGGACGATAGCGCCCATGGGTCCAGTTAGCGCAAACGTCGTGCCGATTGACCCGTGCGGAGTCTGGGGGAACACGAGGCGGTCCAGTCATGATAGTAGAATTCTTTGAGCTGCAGGCTCATATGAAGCTGTGAGATAGATCTGTTGGCGATAGGTCAATTGTGTATGTTTGATGCTACGAATGCAGGTATTCCGTATGGGTCCTCCTTGGACATCTATACATGTGCATACCCCTGCCTTAAGCTAGTACCCAGACGTTAGAGAAGTGCGTCTTGAGGACTATGATACCCACGCTTTATCCTCGTAGCACTTTGAATTATTACTTAGGGCAGAATAACTCTTCATGTCGCATTAGCAGCTCCCACCAGCTTCAATTACAGAAGGACACAGCTGCTTACGGTTCCGTCACTTGCTATCACAATAGTTGTACGCGCCTCATGTCAGTTAGGTAGATTTAAGCTTGCAGTATTTGTTACTATTCCCAGCAAGCATAATTTCAATGTTCGGGTCGTTGATATGCCCATAATTTCAGGCACGATGATTGACTGTCCTCTCATACTGGAAGGTTGAGAGGCTTTGTTACTTCCGTCGGTAATGAAGTGAGACGGGCTTGCTAAGGTATTAATACTGTGCACCAGACAGTGTAGCCTTCTCAGGAGTCTGTACCTGATACTATGGCAGTAGCATCCACAGAAGAAGAGTTGGTTGTACCAAGACAGGTTACACAGACGCATACTGCGAGGCATAGCTCGATCTGAGGGATTCAATGTGTCGTATCCAAATCTGCATAAATGACCCACAGTTATTTTTGCATTTCCATTCCCACCTAGCAGACGGACATTTAACCTGTTCATCCCAGAGAGAGCAAATATGAGGACTGAATGCACCCAGTGCTACATACTAGTGCTCTATCAGATCCAACTTGACTACCAAAAGAGGAATAGACTGTGCGCTGCGATGAGTCATCACGGCCCCGCGTTGCCTTGAGAACCGGAACCTGATGTTTGCAGTGTTTGGTTGGGTGCTTTGTTGTCCCTCGGCGGGATTGATTGATGGCCATAGCTTCTGTCCGTCTTGTCTTTCCCAGCCTGTACCCCTGCCTGTCACTCAGTACTAACTAGTATCCATGAGCTCATTGAAACTAATCATTATTAACTACTCACTAATTACTACCTCCGACGCCGCGCTAACTCCCTAACCCTGTAAGAACAACGCCTTATCGCTTTCAAGCAAGGAAAGCGGATCTAGTTGGGCAGATCCGATCTCTCTAGTTGATTCCATACCTGGCCCACTGCCCAGCCACCCATTTGAATCTAATTGGCTCTATTCGATTATATTAGACACTTACTTCATAGCTCTGCGACTGAGAGCCAACTCATCATCCTACCCCTTCCTGATATCCCCCCCTTGGTATGATCTCTCAGGTTCAACCTCCATGGCCAGTATGATGCATAGGCCACAATTTCACAAGGCCAGGGACGGCCAGCGCAAGGTCTCGCCTCCCGGTCCAACTTACATGTCCAATGATCAGATCGGTACGTGTTTACGCTGCTGCGATGTTGAGTCAGAGCATTATCTGCGCTTTCCGAGGGTGTTGGCCGAGCGGCCGGCTGTGGGTTGATATGGACAATGTTTATTAATTCCTGGCGTAACAGCGACCTATCTGAAAGATCTGCGGACGAATCGTCCTGCCCGCCCCGGCGGATCCAGGCCGCTTCCTTCGAGATCAACTGGATCGTCCTCTGACACTCGGGAGGATCTTCCTCCACGAGCAGCGTCTGCAATGTCGTCGTATGGACATTCGTATATGCAGTCGAGCACCCCAGCAGCTGAGACCGAGCATCCTCGGGCCACCAGCTCACTTTCAAACCATAGGCCGACGTCATCTCGAGGCGCACTGGGCAGCCCTATCGGACGACCGTTGGTCCAGGAACCAAGAACAGTCCCCGTACGGCAGCATATCTCACCCACTCGAGCCTACAGTCGCGCTCTTCCTACCTCCCCCAGCGCCGCTTATCGTGAAAGCCCGCAACGGCGTATAGAGAAGGAAGAGGCAAAGTCCTTGCGAGATGCCTTACAACAGATGGACCTGGAGGATGACGTCGAGCTCCATGCAGCTGCACAAGATGAAGCTACCGAGCTCGTGTGGATGCACCAGAACCCCGGTGTTCCCTATAAGAACCCATATGCACCATATCACAATCCCGATTTGGACACGCTCCAGAAAAGCCCAGATAGGAATAGTCAGTATTCGCGTGGCGAGAGGCTGGGCTCTCCTACGCCACGACGGGGCAGTCGTCGTCTTGCCTACCAGGGATCGACTATAAGCTACAACGGTCCTAGCAGCATCCAAGAGTCGGACGAAAGCCCGGCACATGATGAGCAGGAGTTTGCCATGGGAAGGGATATTCCCAGCCCTAAAAAGAACGGGACTCTACGGAAGAACCTCAAAGTCAACTTTGCGTTGCCGCGGGACGAAGTATCCACCCAGAATATCAGCAGCAGCTATGGGCTGGGCTTGGCGAATGTCGGTAGAGATTCATCCAAAGGCATCTTTAGGAATCCGAACGACCAAATATACGAAGAGCCTCAGCTTTCCCCACAGAAGGACGAGAACAGTCGGCCGGACTTCTCAAGGTCGGACTCTTCGGCTTTGAGAAATAAGCCACGCAACGCTCTTCCTCGCGGTTCTCGTCCTCTACCTAGTCGGTTCAGTAGCCTTCCTTTTGTGGACAAGCTGGCTCGCTTCGAACTTCATAAGAACCCCCCAAGCCAGTCAAGGAACCCAGAGTATAGAATGAACGACCCGCTTCCCCAACCTCCTACGGCAGGCTCTGAGGTTGAGGAGCAAGATGCCCCTATGAAGAATGGCCTAGAGATCCGCAGTGATGACATTCGAGCAGCTACTAGCAAGAAACTCAGAGATCGGAGCACTCGCCTACCAATGCCAACCGCGGTAAGTGATCGTGCTGGTCGGCCGATCGTGAGTTTTGATCCAACTTGGAAGCCAACCGAGGCGCAAAGCCCGCGCAACCGAGATAGTTTCAAGGGAAGGGATGCAACGCCGGACGTGCCTTCTCCCGAGCCAGCTGCTCCCACTATTGAGGTATCCGAGGCACCGTCGATCCCGGTTATCAACTTGCCAGACGACAAAGAGCCCACTATCTCTGAGATGGCAGGACCATCCCAGAGCACAAACACTGGTGGGAATTCACCGTCGAGCCCACCCAAGAACAACGAAGCTCCCAGGCGATCCCCGAGAAAACCCACTGCAGGGTTGCAGAGTCGGTGGCTATCCACATATAGCCGCTCTGGCGTTCCCACCGCAACATGCGAGGCATGCTCTCTTCCAATTTCAGGGAAAATCGTGACCGCTTCGGGATCACGTTTCCATCCCGAGTGCTTCGTGTGCCACCATTGCCAGACTGCTCTGGAGTGTGTTGCATTCTATGAGGAACCTGACGTGAAACGCCAAGAACGTCTCGCGCAGGCTTCCAGCGATGATGAAGAAGCCCATGGACTGAGGTTTTACTGCCATCTTGATTTCCATGAGCTATTCAGTCCAAGGTGCAAGAGCTGCAAAACCCCGATAGAGGGAGAAGTGGTCGTTGCTTGTGGAGCTGAGTGGCATGTCGGGCACTTCTTCTGTGCCGAGTGTGGTGATGTACGGTCTTTCCCTATGTTTTGTAGTCGATAAGAGCTAACACATTTCTTCTAGCCTTTCAAAGCAGACACACCTTTTGTAGAAAAGGATGGCTTTGCATGGTGCTTGCAGTGCCACTCCCGTCGCACAGCTCCTCGGTGCCTTGGATGCAAGAAGCCAGTGCTGGAGGATGTTGTGATAAGTGCAGTTGGAGGGCAGTGGCATGATGAATGCTTTGTCTGCCACGAGTGCGGGGATGGATTCGGTCCCGACGGTCGTTACTTCGTCCGAGAAGGGGAACCGAGAAGGACAGCCAAGGGACGTATTATCGGCGGGCCGGTCCAATTGGCTGTCTGTGAAAGATGTGAAGGTATACGGTTGAAGGCGTCGCCGTGATGTGAGTATCTGTCGGATGATGGATCTCCGGGGTCTGAGGCTCCAACAACCGATGACTGACGCCAGTGACATGATCATCGTGGCCATCTGCATAGTGTCGAGCGCAGTGCGCTTGACAAGATGCATCATCCAAGGTTATACGGCCATTGTTTTTCATATATGTCTCCCTGTTTTCTTCTCATGTTTGTTGCGACCTGTGAATTGCATAGCATCCAGCGGGAGTCTACGATAGCGTACACTTTAGGTGAATTTAAGACAATAAATGGTTTGAAAGACACATGTTTTGCATCTTGCTAGCTGCAACCACAGAGAACCCCATAATCTGAAGGCTCTAAGTACTAATCGAAGTTGCCTGCATGACTTTAGAGCCGAACCAAGGCTATTCCGGAAAAGGAAGGCAGACTGTCTTGTCATCTCGGCTCGAGGCTTCTCTCCGTCTCGCGGCAACTTGCCTGCGAGGGTGTGATTCCTTTGAACCAGCCTTCCCCATTTCCTAGATGGGCAACTAGGCAGCTTGACTTTGGCAAGATTCGCGTGTCATACGAGTGCCTCGAGTCGAGGCACCTGAATTTCGTTCGGCAAGACGGAGACGCTTGGATGTCAACCCCAGCTTTGCGGGGGTTCCCGAGCTTTTGCGGGGATCGCGTCCCCATTGCCGTCATCGCATCAAATCCGCATGTACGACCATCTATAGATTGATACGGCTCTTGCGCGGGGATCGGGAGATCTAGCTGCTGCAATATCCTTCGGATGACGTCTGATCCATGTCGAACGATGGCAGCTACAGCACCATATCGTTTTCCTATTCGCAATGCCGGCATGGGCGTTGTGCCCTGAGCGGGCAGCATAAATAACCCTGCAAGGAGTCGATGGTCTGGTGGTTGACATTGTAGGCAGGCCTGTCGGACTAACTATTCCCAACTCTTCCTTCATCTGTCAATGACACTTTCCCTCTACCAGTCGCTTTAATCATTGTTCAGACCAGTCCCTAATGGCAGAAGATTCGGATTACAAGCTCAAGTGTGATGCCTCTCTCTCAGAGGAGATAGAGGATGTTATCACCTCGCCTTTCTCTCCCGAGGAGGAAAAGGCCCTCGTGCGGAAGGTTGACATGACTTTGCTTCCAACGATATGGATCATGTATCTGCTCTCCTATATGGATCGGACTAAGTATACCTTGTGCCCTAGATGCTACGATACATTGCTACAAATATCTGACTAGTCTTACGTTATTAGTATCGGCAACGCAAAGATCTCGGGTATGCAGGACGATTTGAATTTGACATCCGGCCAATATTCAATTGCTCTGGTTGTCTTCTTCATCGGATATGTTGTCTTTGAAGTTCCCAGCAAGTACGTTCCGGCTCAATAACTCGGGATTTTCACACGCCAGCGCTGACCGTTTAACAATTATATAGCTTAGTACTAAGCCACACGCGCCCTTCGTTGTTCCTAACTGGTATCATGGTATTATGGGGAGCACTAACCTGTGTGATGGGCGTGATAAAGGACTACAAGCACCTTGTTGTGCTGCGCGCACTGATTGGTAAGGCATCTTACTGACTTGTCCGTGGTGATAGTATGTTCATAACTTTGTTAGGCTGTGTTGAAGCGGGCTTCGCACCTGGTGTCCTTCTTGTCCTCTCGTCTTGGTACAAACGGACGGAACAATCGAAGCGATTCGGTGTCTACATATCTGCTGCAATCCTTTCGGGAGCATTTGGTTCCTTGCTAGCAGCAGGCATTATCCAGGGTCTAGAGGGAGTTCATGGAATAAGAGGGTGGAGATGGCTCTTCATCGTGGAGGGATCTGCAACTGTGGGGGTCGCGATCATATGTGCCTTCATCTTGCCCGACTTTCCAGCCACCTCTAGGCGCTTATCAGAACGAGAGCGACATGTGGCTATCGCACGGCTAGCGACAGACAATGTCACATCTTTGACTGAAGACAGCCCGGAGTTGTCACATTGGAATGCTATTTTCGAATCGGCTAGGGATTGGCGGACCTGGGGATTTGTGGTTGGATATATGGTATGGTAACCCGCCGTCATTCGCATGATGCCACAACTCTGACTTCAGAAAGGTCATAGTCGGCTCTAGCACACTTTCCTACTTCTACCCTACACTCGTGAAGGGCCTCTTCGGGGATTCATCCACTGAAAGGGTAAACTTCCTGACAGTACCGATCTACGCAGTCGCATTCGTCTGCACCGCAATCACCGCATACTTCAGCGACAAAATCCCCCAATGGCGAGGTCTTGTCATTGCTGGCTGGCTGAGTACATCGCTAGCTTGTTCCATTGCTGTCTGTGTTGTATACAACTATACTGCACGATATGTCCTTCTCGTACTTATGGCTGCCGGATTGTGGGCAACCAATGGAGGCACCCTTGCGTATGCATCATCTGCATTTGCGAACATGCACCCGCAAGTCAGAGGCGTCAGCCTTGCGCTAGTAAATGCATTAGGGAATCTAGCCCAAATATATGGCTCGGTATGAACAATCTCGAGATTTTTTGTTGGCATTCAGATGACTAACTGGCAGCAGTACTTGTTCCCTTCCTCCGACGGTCCGAAGTATATCATGGGGTTCTCGGTGATATCCGCGATGCTTGCTCTCGGAGTGGTTGTCTTTCTCGTGATACACGTCTGGTTTCGTCGGCGCGCGACTGCAATTAGCCATACGTGATGCTTCATGCTGGTCATGGGCTCCTTCATTGCAAGCCTAGAGAAATGAAGTACTAACGACATGATGGAGATGATGTTATGAATTATTAGCCTGTGAAAGTACTCTACGAAGCTAGCATTCGAGCGTTATGTGTTTCTTATATTTCCTAAGCACGGTCCCTTCCCCGTAAATTCTCACAAATTCAGAGCAATCAACGTCCAACACCACTCTGCTGCACTATGGGACTCTCCTCTGAGCTAAACTCAGCCACTCTACAACATGCCATCCCAGACAATGCAATATGTATCGAAGCAACACACCCACAAGACTACATGAGCACATATTATAACAGATGATCATCCAAACCATGTATATAATAATTAACTTTTGTTAATCTCGCAACAAAACATCCACGCCATAGATCTATACAAGCCGAACAGAAACACAGAAATCAAGCCCACTCCGGATCCTCCTTCCTCCTAAACACAGCAACATACTTGTTACCCTTATTCCTCGTAACCTTCTTGCCCTCCTCCGTCGCCTCCTTCATAACCTTCACACACTCATCCTTCTCCAACTCCTCCTCAGACACCCTCTCAAACAACTCCTTAACAGTGGGTCCCTCATTCTCCGCCTCCTCAACCGCACTCTCATCCCGGAAGTGTCTCAAAATCCAATGATGATACTCCTCCACATCCGTAATAGTGTACAGTAGACCACCAGGGCGCAGCGCATACGCATACTCCGCATTCAAAGTCTCCGAGATAATGCGCGCCTTGTGCTTCCGCGCCTTGAAGTGCGGGTCGGGGAAACAGATGAAGATCTTCGACAGCTGGTGCTTGTTGAAGAAGTTCGGGAAGAACTTCATCGTGTTGCTCCGGATCGCCGAGATGTTCTGGTATCCTCCGGGGACGAGAGCCGCGCTGGCGTTCGGGTCGGGATGCGCCGGGGCATCGGTGGGAGTATCGACGGCGGCGTCAGCAGGGGTGGTAGGGGCAGGGGTGGAAGTCGAAGAGGTAGGTTGAGATTGTGATTGTTGTTGTTGCTGTTGTTGTGTCTTTTGTTGCTGGTGCTGTTGTTGCACGCGAAGAGCTTGGATACGGGTGTTTAGGTATTCGAGAACGGCGATGCGGATTTCCATTCCTAGATTGAAGGTTCAGTTCAGTTCAGATCATTTCGACACAATCCTTGGCTGTGTGAGAAAGGAAGATGTAGATATACATACCGACCATCAACGTCTCCGGCAACAACCCCGCCAGACCGACAAGCAACCCACCGAATCCACATCCGATGTCCACGACCTCCACATCCTTAAGCAACTTTCTCGTTCCGATCAGGTTCGTCTGCGTGGCATCGGGGTTCACGAAAGCAGGGAAATGCGATGCCCAATCCATATGCGCCGGGCTGAGGGGACTGTACAGTTGGAGAGAAAGAAAGAAAAGTTTAGCCTGGCATTTCCTTTCCATTCCAATCCACCACGCCATTGACCTCATTCGCATGGCACAATGAGCAACAAGTAACAACATACTAGTTCAACTGATGATCCGAGAACGGATTCGCATGCGCCCGCTGACGATAGAACTTCTTCTTAGGGAGCTTGACATGGCTCACGGGGGCGGATTCATTCGGTTGCGCGACGACCGCTTCGGCGGCTTGTTTGCGGTACTCGGCGCGCTTTTGACGCTTAGCAGGAGGTTGAGACATTGCGTATCTGAAGATTAATTGAGGGTGGTAGGAAATGTTGGGAGAAACTTGTTGGAGAAACCTTTTGAGAAGGTGGGGGTGCGCGGTGCGGTGCGGTGCTGCGGAGGTTGCGGAAATTTCTAGGGCGGAGAAGTTAAGTTAGTTCCATTAAGGTGGGTGGGTTGTTGGCTGGCGGTAGATAATCTACTGACGTCCTTATCGATCACCACCACTACAACTATCACCGTCAACGTTACAATTTATCGACCCGTACTATATTCCGAGTATTTCACAACAGCGATCTACACACCTCAGTCCTCTATACCAATCAGCGACAGACACAAATACCACCACCAAAATGACAAGCGCAACAACAACATCAACCACAACCACCCCACCCTTCCAATTCCCCCTCACCTACTCCTTCCCAGCCTTCTTCACCCCCCAACCCAACAGCACGACACGCACCTCCCAACTCCAGAAATGGTCCTCCCTGATCCAATCCTGGTGTCGGCATCACCGCGTCTACCGACTATCGTTAATCGAAGCCATCGAGTCCCCATTATTCCATAATGCGACGCTCCGGAAGCGCATATCGATGAGCGATGCGCGGGATATTCTAGACTGGATGGCGAAAGGGGAAGAGGAAGGAGGTGGAGGGAAAAGAGCGGAGTGGATTGATGGTGGGAGTAAGAGTGTGGCGTGGATTTGGTGGAAGAGGCCGGAGGAGTGGGCTGGGTTGATTGCGGATTGGGTATGTGTTTCTCTATTCCAGAGCTTATTGTCATCTTGAAAGAGGAAGTGAGAGGCGGAATTGCAGTTGGGGAGATGGTGGCTAACTGCTTGTTTTTGGTGTATAGGTGGAAAATACGGGCCAGAAGAATGTGGTGCTTACGGTTTATGAGTTGTTGGAAGGGGAGGCTACGATGTCGCAGGGTAGGTTGACTTGCTTTCGCTTCTTGCTTCTTGGGTCATACTGGTATGGCATGATGGCTAACGGCTGGCTGGAATAGAATGGCATGGGATGGATCCCGATGTGATGCACAAGTCCCTCAATGTTCTCGTGAAACGGGGCAAGGCGCAGGTCTTCGGTAGCGAGGGCCAGGAGGGTGTCAAGTTCTTCTAAGGATGGGTAGGTCATCTGGCCTAATTACAGCATGCGGTCGGCTCGTGGCTCCATTCGAAAGCATGTCCATTGGTGACGCTGAGAATACGGCAACTATCTTCATGATAAAGTAAGGGATATACAAAAACCAGATAATGTCCCCGAAAGAGCTATACGGGTTTCCCGCTGTTCATAACAAGCAAATATGTTTCAACACAGCACTCCTAACACCGTGCTCATGAGCCAGCTACTGCTCCATCTTATCTGCCATTTCCTCGTCCAGCTCATATGCATCTGCCGCGCGCAGCGTTTGGGACATGGCAATGTCAAGAAGCCAATCCACCCGGACTATCCGTGGTGTTTTGCCTCTGTTTAGGACCATCTGGCGGAATCGCGGCCACAGCTTGGTGTGGTCTGCAGAAGTGCTGCTCAGAAGGTATACCTCCCTACGGCTGCGATCGTCGTCTCCAGAGCTCTCGTCACTCTCCTCACGCTGTGAGCGGTATGAAACGCGACCACGGAAGAGAGAGCACTCTCCTCCATTAGCATCCACAATGGACTTGAACGCATCAAAACCACCACGGATAGTTTCGACGCAGTGTATTTGATACCCTTGCAGGAGCTTGTTCTTGTTCTTTTTGGCGTTCATCTTTGCTTCCTCCAGGGAGAATCCATATTTCTTTTCCGATGCATCGTCTTTTAGTGGGAAATCAGCGGGTTCCAGAAGTTCGTCTTGTTCGAGGCATTGCGTGATGAAATCGATGCTCACAATAGCTGGGCCGTATGCAAGCGCGTTGACGAACTTAGGAGTTCTCAGGATAGAGGGGGCAGCAAGATGGGAGCATCTCCGAGCGTCTTGGACAACCAGGATTCCAAGCTCACGGAGCTGGCGCTGCTCACAGTCAGAGGGCTTTCTCAATTACTGACATATACAAAGAGGTGGACAAACCTTATCTGAGTCTTCCTTCTTCGGATTCCCAACCCATTTTTGATACCCTGTAATTAGAAGATGCATCGCGACAGAGGGCTTGCCCTTCTTCTGCCTCTTTGCTTCCGTGCTGTCCTCTTCATCGCTCTTGTCCTCCGCTTCCATAGAACGCCGCTTCTTGCCATTGTTGAGCGTGACCCGATCCTCGTCTGTCTTCCGTCGACCACCATAGATCACGCCACCAACGCGCTTCCTCTCTTTCTCGTACAAAGCAATGTCCGGTGCAATCTCGTGCAATCGAGCGGTAGCAGCCTCCTTTGATTTCCGACTACTTGTCGTAGATGGCGTATCATTCTCCTTGCCTTCAGAAGTAAGCCGGGCACGCGCCGGTGTTTGTAACTTCTGATTATCACTTGTAGCTGTCTTGCGCGACTTTCCAACCGCTCGCGGTGTTGCAATTTGTGGCTGCTGCGGTACTTCACTCTCGGATTCTGTCACCTTTGCCGACGGCGGTTGCATGGTATCCGATGACTTTGCAGCGACGGTGTTCTGTTCCTTGGTCTGCATCGCCCGTCGAGGGCTCTCCTGCTCTCTGGCTAAGCTTTCACTCTGGAAGAATATACTTTCGAGGACCGTCCTGTCGAGTCTGGTCTGCCCAACAACTTCGCCTAGATTCGTCCTCTTGGGGAAGTGAGTGTAGCGCGGATCAGAAACTGGTTGCAGCTTCCACTTTGCGTAACTCTCCTCCAACCATAGGTGGTTGACGACCTGCAATCCCCACTCCTTTGCGGCGGCGCATTTCTCACTGTTACCATGAGCAGTCACGAGGTGGGTATTCTCCTGCTTTAGCGTCTTGGTGCATTCTGCGCCTGTCGCGGTTATCAGGTTCTCCAGGTATGCTCTGGCTTCGCCAACATAGTTGGACAAACTGATCTTGAATCCCTTGAAGCCTGGGATTCCGGACCGCGAGACAGGATAGTGTAGTAATCGCCGTAGAGGTGATGTCCAGGTGTTGTAGGTCATCATGTGGTAGAGCCACGATAGGTTTCCGACGTCCTTGTTCAGCCTCGATGCCATGCGGTATGCGAACCCCTCTCTATAGCGACAGATCAGGATATCCGCCTTTGAGACATCCGTCGTGATGGAGCCGCCGCCATTCTTAATGATTTCCTCGATGGACCCGAGAAGACGAGGACCGATACCGAGGTCTGTTGATAGCATGACATTCTTATCTTGGAATACGGTAAGCGCCGGCTGCGCATCAGGCGATTTGACAGACGAGGGAAGGTTAGCTGGGTTCGTCGTGGATGCGCCGATGATGTCACGGTTTTCTGAGGAGCGGATGGGTGCATCTGGCGCTGCGCGGAGAATTTCGGGGTCGGGAAGGGTATATGGACGCTCGTCGATTCTTCGGCCAAGTTTTAAGCAGTCGTCGAACCTATGTATGGATACCATTGTTAGATCGGCCCAGTCCCTCAGAGGCGATCCGTCTTACCAGTGCGGAAGCACTATCTTGATATTTAACTTCTTAGCGGCGATTAATCGAGCCTTATCGGACTCTGCGGTCAAATCAACCAAATGCGTGACCTGCTGAGAGACCTTAGGACTGTAAATTCCACCTTTTGCCAGCACACCGCCGATAATAGCTTCCTTATCGCCTCCTGGTATATCACCGCATGTGATCACCACGTCGTTCAAGAAGAGCCGCGGGTCAGGGCTATATTGGCGCGGGTTTGCTAGCTTTCTCTTTGCTAAGCATGCATGCACCCAGTGTGGTTTGACAACCGGTATCAGGGCATCGCCGGCCGCGTCGAATGCAGGAAAGTCAATAGTGCAGGAGATGAGGTGGGTGAAATCGGAGAGAGGTGGAAAGGTGGCTGGCGGTTCATAGATCACAGTTTCACCGCCATGTTCTTCGAATGTAGATGCGAGCTGTTAATCAGGAGTTCTTTCCTTTAGTCTGGGTGAACTGCCAGTATATCGAAGGCTGTGGCTATCATACCTGATGTGCTGTATCAGCACTGAGATCTTTGGAGCATATAATACAGACTTTGCACTGGCTGAAGAGTTGAAGCTCTCCTCCCTGCTCAGCCATTGTGTGAATATTTGCCGGTCAGCAGGGAGTTATGTTCAGTATGTAGTGCGCTATGAGAGGAGAATGGTAGCATGGGCGAAAGTTACGTCCGGCTTGAGAAAGCAGTCGTCTTTTGCCTCTTGTGGCTTTGCGATGCGACGCGCAGACGCGCCGACACGACACCAGGTCACGTGTAGATAAGATATGTCAAAGATCGTCGATATGCGCTGTCAGGCACGTCTGAGCCACATCGTCCCAGTCATGTATGGAATATAATATGAGCTTTCGAAATTGTAGGGTGTGATTCTGATAATATGTTGGTAATGTTATGGTCTTGCGGACAAAAAATAACTAGGTAAGCCGCGGGGCATGTCTCGGAAGGAAGCAACGAGTGAATCTATTAATGTGGGTACAATATAATTTAGCAGCGTGGTGGATTCATAGTCATAGCTTCGTATTGTCCTATATCTGATGGTGGGTGAGCAGTAGTAATAAATAAGATGATTGAAACCAACTTCAATAATATGCGGTGGTTTATAAGGAGCAGTACTACCCCACTAGTACGACACCGGATATATATCGAGTTCTACACTACTCACTACCTTACGAGTTACGCTCAATACAGCCCACCCACACATCGGTCACTGATCTTGAAGAAGCATCTACGTACCTACAGAATCTATGTAATTAGCGATAACCGATCAAAAATCCCATAAAAACAGAGTCCTTTTACATCAGAGTCCTTTTACATCAGAGTCCTTTTACATCATACATCACATAGTGCATATATAGGGCTTGCGCCAGAGCAAAAAAGACAAAAAGATATGACAAGAGTGGGATTCGAACCCACGCCATCTTACGATGATCAGGAAGCTGTGAAGCTAGGTATTAAGGTGGACCTTAACCTGACGCCTTGGACCAACTCGGCCATCTTGCCTATTGATATATTAAAAGGCACATACTTTGACATTATCAGTGGCAAGGCAGGTGAAATTCAACCCGATTTCCCAGCCGTAACCGTTACCTTGTATCAT